CAGCCTCCTGCCCTGCAAAGTAGGCTTCATTCTGTCTTTTGGAGAGCCTGTAAAGGCAGCAGGAAGATGTTACTTCCCCTTTATCAGGATCCCCTGTGGGGTCTTAGTAACTAGAACAGTGGGAGCTTCAAGTTGAGAAACACCATGTCTTAACCCAGCAGGCTGTGGAGGAAGATGGTCAGGGCAGCATGCATGCTCGCATAGGACAGCTCAAGGAACCACAAGCCTACCAGTTGTTGCACAAAGCCTGACCTGGGTGGGAGGCCTCCTTGTCAGTCCTGTTTGTACTTCATAGCTTGCAGAGATAAAGACCTCCTGCCTCTCCTTCAAGACATTTCCTCATGGACTCTTCTATTAAGAGTTAACATTATAACTTAAGCTTTTGTCTTTCCCCAGCTCCTGACCATTGTTTTGTTTGTTTTGTTTTTTCCTTTTTTACTTCTTTTTATTTATTTATTTTTCTTATTTTGCATATAGATCCCAGTTCCCTCTCCCTCCTTCTCTCCCACCCTCCCATGCCCCCACAACCACCCTCTCATCCCATCCTCCCCCACTCCACAGGGAGGGGTCAACAAAATCTGTTAAGTCATTTGGAGTAGAGACTAGGCCCTCCCCCTCCTGCCTCAAGGCTAAAGGAGTATCCCTCCATGGGGAATGTGCTCGCAAAGTCCTTTTGTGCACCAGTAATACATCCTGGTTCCACTGTCAGAGGTCCCTTAGATTGCCCAGGCCTTCTAACTGAGACCCATGTTCAGAGGGTCTGAGTCAGTCCCATGCTGGATTCCCAGCTATCTGTCTGGGGGCCCATTAGCTCCTCCTTGTTCAGGTCAGCTGTCTCTGTGGGTTTCTGTAACCTGGTCTTGTCCTCCCTCTCTGCATCTGGATTCCAGTTTGGCTCAGTGTTTAGCTGTGGGTGTCTGCTTCTGTTTCCATCAGCTACTAGATGAGGGCTCCATGATGGTGGATACATTAGTCATCAATCTCATTATCAGAGAAGGGCATTTATGTTAGCTCAAATTGTTAGTTGGGGTCAGTCTTGTAGGTTTCTGAACATTTCTCTAGAGTCAGTTTTCTCTTCAAACCTATAATGGCTCCCTCTTTTATTCTCTCTCTCTCTCTCTCTCTCTCTCTCTCTCTCTCTCTCTCTTTCTCTCCCTCCCTCCCTCTCTCTCTCCTCTTGTCTATTCCTTCCCTGACTCAATCTTCCTACTCTCACATGCTTTCCTCTCCTCCCCTTCTCTTTCTCCTAGCTCCCTCTCCTAACCATTGTTAACACTTGAATCCTGTTGATCATTAAAGTGGGAGTTTATCTCATAGTAGACGTTAGTTGTTAGTTGGTGTTAAACCTCTCATAGTGGGATAGATGTAATATGCTCAATTGTTGATCTTTACCCTTGAGCAAAAGTCATAGTCTCAGGTGTCTACGATAGCCAGCTGGATAGTTAATGAGCAATGATTACAATGGACAGTAGTGAACACAAACTAAAAACACAAACAAGCAAACAACAAACCAATGCCAAGACTCTGGATCAGTCAGACTTTGTGCCAGAGTTTGGTTATGCCACCAGATCTCTGAAATTTGCATTTTGGGTTTTTTTTTTCAAAGAGCAATTGATGATGGATGGATGGCCCTAAATAATACATTCAGTTTTCTAAGTAATACATTCAGATGTTTTTAATAGTAGCTTTTAATTTACTTTCATATTTTGCAATCCTAACAGACCTATAAGCTATCAGTTAGTGACCTTGGCTAAAGCCAAAGGACCATAAATTGTAGGATTACAGCAAACATGCATTGAACATATATTCCATGTTTCCAAGACACCAGAGATGCTTGACATACATGCGAAACCCCTTCCCTCGAGGAGCCCATACTCCAGCAATCAAAATGTACAGGATTCTAATAATTATCAGTAGGAAATAATATGCCACAGATATTTAATTATAAATCATAGTGAGTACTAAAAAGAAAATATACATAACAGAATCAGAGATGAAGGAAGAAGTAACTGGTATGGTGTTGGCTTCGGAAAGATGACCATGCTTTTATCTAAAGAATGAAATGAAGCAAGAATACTCTATAAACAGAGAGAACTGTATATGCAGAGACCCTGGGTGGGATAGCATTGGGCATGTCTGGGGAACAGACAGGACGTGTGGTGATAGATGCAGAGTAAATGGCAAGAATCACATTGGATGCAGTGGATGAGAATTAACACAGAGACACACAACTAGACAACATTCAGGGAGTGAGAGGCTTTGGAGTATTCTGTCTTAAATGGGATGTCTTTATTAAATCCCTTCCCTCAAGGCTTGGGGATTTATGTGAAAGGAGAGGTGGAAAGATTCTAAGAGCCGGAGATGGTGGGTGACTCCAAGGAAACAGTGTCTTCCAGACACAAACTGATGCACATATGAACTCAGAGTCTGTGACAGTATGCACAGGTTCAAAGCAGGGAAAGTCCCAGCACTGAAAAGAAGTGGACACAAGGTCCCACCCTTCACTAAGAGGCTATTCACAATTGGTACCTGATAAGAAAGGGAAAATCAGTTTTCTCCAATAGAGGCATACTGCATATATCAGGCATACTCCAGGGCAGGCCCATGGCCAGGAGTAGTGGGCCAACACAAAATGGACTCCATGTTTTGGAAGAATTTTGTTTTTATTTTGGTGTGTGTGTGTGAGCATGCATGTGTGTATATGTGTGCATCCACATGTGCTTTTGTTTTAATATTTTTGTCTTATTATTAGTCACTTTTTCTTTTTTGATTTTTGATTTGGTTTTTTTTTTCCTGGTTGCTTTTCAGAGAGAGAGAGAGAAATAGCAAAGCAAAGTTGGGTGGGTGGGGAGGTGGGGCTGATCTAGGAGGAGGTAAGGGAGAGGAAAACATATTTTTAAAATATAGTGTGAAAAAAATGGTAAAAAGAAAAAGGATTAACAAAGTGGAGAAGCAGGGACAGGAAGAAAACCACACCAGAGCATATCACAATAAAGCAAAACTACTGAAAGTCAGCAGGAAAACAGACACCATATACAGGGAAGGACAAAACTAAGAAATGTTAGCAGACTTCTTGCTCTGTGACCAGTGCAAGTCATGTGACAGTGTGGGGCATCCTTAACATACTGTGGTGGGATATCCTTGAGTTGTAGAACATGAGGAGATCAAGCTGGTACTAACCCGGAAGCTTCTTCTCTATTGGCTAGCTTTCATAGTACTGGAAGATCCATGCACACGACTGGGGGAAGAAAGCAATCACCAGTCTTAGTCAGCTGTAAACTCTGGGATCTATAACAACAACCCATGAGGTGCTGTATTAATTGATGATTTATGTGAGAGTGCCAAGCCCATTGTGGGTGGTGACTTCCTTGAGTGCTATAAGAAAGCAGGCTGAGCAAACCAGTAAGCAGTGCCCCTTCATGGTTTCTGTCTAAGAGCCTGCCTCCAGGTTCCGGTTCTGATTTCCCTCAGCAAAGGAGTGTTACCTGAGAGGCATAAGCTGAAACAAACCCCTTTCCTTCTCAAATTGCTCATGGTGTGTTTTATAACAGCAATGAAAACCCTAATAAGACACCGATCAAACACGGAAGGGTAAACGATGTATCGCCTTATTTATATGACATGATATAAAAAGCAAAGTTTTAGTGAAAGAAAGCGAGTGAAGAGTTGCTTGGGTAGGAGAGAGCATGGATTGCAGATAGCACAGTGAAGACGCTGGGGTGGCTGGGAGATCATACTGGGGTGAGGCTTTGGAGAACCCTGGTACCTTCTTGTAGGTGGGGCAGCAGGCAGTGGGGACCAGATCATGAATGAGGGAAAATGGCACCTGGCCCTGGCCCTGGCTTTCCTTCATTCGCCGTGGCTGGCTGTCAGATTGTACACATTGGTTAAAGCTCACCAAGCACTATATTTAAATTTGGTGAGTTTTATTATGTATCAATAAAAGGAAATGACCAAGAGAGAGGCAAAGAAGGATGGGGAAATAAAGAAGGGGAGAGCAAGGCTGAAACCACGTATTCCTCTTTTCAAAAATGCAATCACTTCAGGAAAAACAGTTCCCACTGGCCCATCATATAAACCACTTCAGGCTCGGTTTTCTGTACTCTGATGGGCTCGCCTTCTACCAAACAAAGAAAACTCCATCTTAAAGAGGAATCTTGGCATCAGCTGATGATAGTGAAAAACTTGGCTTAATTGAATGAGGAATGTCTCTGGCAAAGAGGAAGCCAGACCCTCTTGTTTGCCTGGGACCCTGACTTTCCCCCTTCCTGCTCTCACTTGCTCCATCTCTACCATGTCTCAACCCTCCAAACTCCTTTTAATCTGGGTTCTTCTTCAAAACCGGAAGACTAATTTCTACATCGCCCTCTGCTGCTGCTGGAGGGAACACCCAGGATGCATAGGTTGTCAATGGGTTTTTTGCACAATGAAGTGAGGTATCTTCACTTCTGGGACAGACTAGTTTCATATGCCCAAGGAATAGACTGCATACAGGACTTGGGGGCTGAGACCATGGGGTGGAAAAGAGTTGGACTGATCCAACAGCAAAGAGCAATGAAGAGATTAAAAGAGGGGGCAAGGACGATTGCAGTAGAAAAGAAGATGTATTTTCAGTGCCAAATAAGACAATATGTGAACAGCACACACACCTCATGCCAGCAGCAAGCTAGTATGTCCCATAAAGGACTCTGAAGGAAGCATACTGATTCTTGTATTATAAGGTGGTTTACTAGTGAAATGTGATTTGAGTCTCTGATTACTTACATATAATCAGTTGTTCCAATACTCTGAAAACGAACTTGGTGAGTCTTAACTAATCTTCGATAGTAGCAAGTATTCTTCAGGTTATTGTGCTGTGTAGATGTGGGGATAGGTGGATGAGACTCTGATTATGAAAGCTGCTATGAAATGCAGGTAATTTGCAGAGAACTCATCTCGGGTTCCCCACAATGGAGAGTGATGGGAAATTCCAGATATCTTTGTGGCTATTACTTCTCCAGGAGCTTCTTATCCTGACCACACATTCCCAGCGGAGAGGATGGATGATGTTGTAGCTCCTGGAGGAGAGTACACCTACCAGTGGATCATCAGTGAGGACAGCGGGCCCACACCAGATGACCCTCCATGTCTCACCCACATCTACTACTCCTATGAAAACCTGACCCAGGATTTCAACTCGGGATTGATCGGACCTCTGCTTATCTGTAAAAAAGGTAAAAGCACAACACCAGATTCAACCACAGCAAAGACACAGGGGTGGCTGGAGATCATACTGGGGTGAGACTTGGGAGAACCTTGGTACCTTCTTGTAGGTGGGGCAGGAGAAGGCAGTGGGGACCAGATCATGAATGAGGGAAAATGGCACCTAGCACTGGCTTTTCCTGTGTCTTCCAAAACCTTCCTTCAAATCAGTCATGGCAACTCCCTTCAAGTCCGTTCTGACATTGTGTCTGCATGTTTGCATGACCAGTAATCTTTACCCCAAAGCCAAGTCCATTTATTTTAAAGTGTGCAGCACCCTAATCCCCGAGAGGCTTCCTGGACAGGACACTGGCCGGTACAACTGATATAGCTGAGGTTTGTTTTAGTGATTTGGTTTACAAGAATGTGTACTCCAACTCTCTTTCTACGTTGTTATTTGGTTAAGGATGGGTGGGTGGGTGGGTTGGTTGGTTGATCTTTTATGGTTGGTTGGTTGGTTGGTCTTTTATTTTTTTAGTAGACAGGGCCTTGAACTCATAATGATATTTCTCCCTTAACTTCCCAAGTGGTAGGGTTACAGGTGTGAGCCACATTTTGCAGCTTAGCTTGCTTTCTTATAAACAAGTTGAAGGCTTAGGTGTAATTAACCAGATTTTGTAAGTGTCAACTTTCACTGACCTATGTAGACCTGTGTCTTTGAGACCTGGGATTTGGAGACCTTAAGGAATGGGGTAGACTACAGTATACTGTCAGTTCCAGTGTACTTTTTTACCCACAGGTGAAATGAAGAAAGCAATGATCCAAGGAAGGTTGTTTGAGTTCAGAAAAACATGATCAGAAAAACATGTAAATAAACTCCAGTAAGCACATACTAAATATTGACAGAGCAGCCCTTTCCCAGAACTTTCTCAGGACAGACCAGTTTAAACACCATTACCTGGAACGTGCCATATTGTATCTGAGAAAGCATGAAAGCAAGGCAGAAAGCTACATCCAGATTCAAAGTACATGAAGACAGCACTCAGTACATCCTTTCACTATTGGGTTCCATAGCTATGTTCTGACATCCAACAAGAACAAACATGTCTTATAAATTGCATGTAAATGTTTAACACAGGAGGCACAAAATACATCCAAGAACAATCCAAGGAACAAAATGTACTCTAGGTAAAAAGCCCTCTGCCTTCCTGGAGCCTCTCTCACAGTTCCCCAAGGCACTGCTCAACATGTATCACTCTTTTGACTATGTTCTGACAGTGAGGAGTTCCATTAGCTATGCTTCTTAGAAATGCACCTGACTTTCTGTTCTCCTTCTCTTACTCTGAGAGACTTCTACCCATCTTTCATTGAAACAGCAAACTGCACCATGGGGATAATGTCATACCTATACACAGATCATACACCCCGCTATTTATTAATCATACAAATATATTTTTTTAATTTCCTGAGATATAAAAGATGCTGTAATTGCACTGGAAAAGCTGATGATCTTATAAAAGGCATTTTCATTTTATCACCATTTTTATTCATATAAGGATGGGTTTATCTTGACACAACCATTTCTCTAGTTGAGTGTCCCATTTATGTTTAAACGAGGAAGCTGTATTCAACATGGGGTGTTGTGTTGTACCATCTGAGATAAGATGCATGTTCTGGTCTAGGAGACTGGAAGAAATGGGTGGTTTTCATTGTCGACTTTTGTTGTTAGCTTTTCTCCCCCTAAGTGAACAATTGTTAATTTATTTCATCTAAATATCCTTTTCTAAAATTTCTTATTGATTTTTTTTTGTGGATTACACATCTCACTGCCCCTTAACATTCACCCTCTGCCACTGAAACCTCTCCCCAGAACCAAAACAAAATAACATTTAAAAGAAAAATCTCACATGGAAGCTGTAGTGTGACACTGTGAGTCACATAGTAAACCCTTTAGTCCATACATCTTTACTTTCAAGTGTTTACTGCACTCAGCCATTGGTCTGGTTCGGGGCCTCTGGCTTCTGCTAGGCCCTCCTGCACATCCTGCTAGACTCCTCTTGGACATCCTGCTGTTGCCCTGTGTCATGGAGATCCTGCAGCTTTCGATCTGCAGGACGAGACCCTTCAAATGCTCTAGCAGACCATAGAAGGGGTGGATGTTGGGATGGGCCAACTCATATCCTTGGTTTAGGCCTGGTGGTTGCTGGGTTGGTCAGCAACCCCATCCTCATCAGCAGGGTGAGCTGTCCAACACCTCCCTGGCTAGCTCACCCTATACAGCAAGCAGCAAGGAAGGGGTGGGGCCAGTTCTCCCACTCTCACATCCTCAGGGTCAGCTTACCTGCACCTACACCTCCTGGGCCAGGTGTTACTGTGTTGCCCAGGCGAGGTGCAGGGGCCACTCTCTGCAACCAGTGAAGGGCAGGCCAGCTCTTCTACTCTCATGAACTTAGTGTTAGCTCTCCCACCCACCACAGGCAGCAAAGGAGAGTTTTGGGCTTTTTTGGGTAGACATTTACTACATAGTCCAGAATGGACTTGAACTCTCCATATGGCCCAGGTTGGCCTTGAACTCATGATCCTCCTGCCTCAGCTTCCTGAGTACTGAGATTATAGGAATACATCATAAGACCTGACTGGGAATGTATGCTTCAAGTTTATATCATCATTACTTGTTTCTGGCCCCCAAATGCCGATGTGTAGGAACACTAATGGTCCTCTTCAGTCCAGAAATTGATAGAAGCGTGTCTCTTCTCTCTCAGGCACACTAACCGAGGATGGGACACAGAAAATGTTTGACAAGCAACATGTGCTGCTGTTTGCTGTGTTTGACGAAAGCAAGAGCTGGAGCCAGTCACCATCCCTAATGTACACAGTCAATGGCTTTGTGAATAGGACGATGCCAGGTAACACAGGGGCCACGCACCATTCAGCAAAGACAGTGTCACTAGTACCTTGGTCCCACTGTTTCTGTAAGGTAGCTTATCACATACACTGGTTTCCAATGCCTCGTGGCAAATTATCACAATCCTATGCAATGATTCAGTGACTCTCGTGATTTTTGTCATCATTGTCTTCTCTTTTTTGTCTTACCCAGGAAGTACAACAGATAAACCAGAAGGTAGCAAAGAACCTTATTTGCTACAGCCTTGTTGGGGGTAGTGTCTGAGCATATCACTTCTACTCAAGTGCAGAGTCACATTCTAATAGGAATGATCAACAGAAAAAATGAAATAAAGAGGGCTGAAGAGATGGCTCAGAGGTTAAGAGCACTGGCTGCTCTTCCAGAGGTCCTGAGTTCAATTCCCAGCAACCACATGATGGCTTACAACCATCTGCAATGGAATATAATCCCCTCCTATCATGTGCATGAAGACAGAGCACACATGTACATAAAATACATAAATAAATCTTTTAAAAGGGAATAGAGACACTTATAGTAAAGGTGAACAAGAATGTGCTCTACCATACAAATGTATTGTTAGCTGCTCAAAAGTCTATTGATAAATAAAATTCAGTTGCATGTAGAAGGTTTTCTCTTCTCATCTACAGATAGAGTTTTGTAAAAAGGTAAAATCATACCAACAGTTAAGTGGGGGGGGGGGGCTGACTTCCACTATACTAGCCAATTTTATGTTGCTATAATAGAGTACTGAATGCTGGCTACTATATAAAGAAAAAGATGTTTTAAAAGAATTCAGTTTTAGAAGCAGAAAAATCAAGCCTGGCAGGCTCAGCCTTTGGGGAGGGATCACTTGTTTGTGTCATGGTAGGACAAAGAAGCAAAACGGAAATGGCTACATGTAGAAGAAGCCAAGAACAGGAATGGCCTTGTTTTATAATAACTTGTTCTCATGAGAATTAACCAAGGTCCCATGAGAACTACATAAATCTCTTCAAGGACAATACTTCCAGTGACCTAACCACTTTCCACTAGGCTCTGTGATTGATAATTTTTACCACCTGAAATGCACCAACAGAGCCAAGCTTTAGGCTTATGAGCCTTTCAGAGACATGCCATAACCATAGCAACCACCTATACCACTTCTATGTCCTCCTAGTAGAACTATCTTAGAATGAAAAACCCAGGATATATATACATATATGGTCTCTCTGTCTCTCTCTCTGTCTCTCTCTGTCTCTCTCTCTCTCTCTCTCTCTCTCTCTCTCTCTCTGTGTGTGTGTGTGTGTGTGTGTGAGATGTAGTAATAACAACTCAGGGAGAAAGTCTACATTTGCTTCTTCTTTGCTCCCATGATGGCTGGGAAATTGCTCATTTGCTCTGTGGGAGATTCTAACCTTGGCTTCTATCCTGGATTTACATTCAAATTTCAGATTTACAATCACAAGATACAAGATAATTGGCTAAAAATTGGTCCCTTAGTATATATGTACACATACAAATATACATACATACATACATATACAAATAAACACACACATATATATATATACCCGATGGTATATATGTATATATTATGTTTATGTTAAGTTTTAGAAAAATGAAAATATTTTCCTGTTAAAAAATTCTAGGGGCTGCTGAGATGGCCCAGTGGGTACAGGTGCTTTTCTCCAGCTCTATTATTGACCTGCGTTCGGTCCCTAGGATCCACATGGTAGAAAGAGAATCAACTTTCACAGGTTGCCCTCTGATTCCCACACAAGAATCATGACATCCGTGCCCGTGTACATACAGAAAATCAATAAATAACAGTAAACAATAATAAAAATTCTAAATTTCATTGTGTATCAATATTACAAGTGGCTTCTTTTACAGAAAAGTAAGCATTGTCAAGAGTTAATGTCTGGTATCACTTTCAATTTTTATTCTATTTCATTTGGTGCCTTCTGCTGCCTGGCTCATGTAGCTCCGGGTATTGATTCTAAGTTCTAAAACTAGGTTCTTGCAAACCTGAAACTGAGCTATCAGACCTCTACCTTTGAAGATCTGAATTCACACCTCATTTATTTCCCTGCCTCTCTGCTGTCCTTACCAACTAGTAGTCACAATATGCTGTTTCCAGAAATGGAGTTATCAATCCCATTATCTGTGTCCTGATAGGGAGACATTATTATCCGTGTAAATATACCAAAGCTAAAATAGCAAAACAGAGAGATTATATGGTTGGAAAGAAGAATAATTTCAAATAAAAGCAAAAGAGCAAGAAAAATCCCTAGTATACACACCACTTAAGCCTGTAAAGGCCCCCATCTTCTGGAGTAACATACACCATTACAATATGCTGCAGATGTGTTCATTGCTGGACTCAGTGTGAGCTGCTTTTGAAGTGGATAAACACACCCACAGAAGCACACACACCTAGCTGCCTCTCAGCTTCCTGTTCACAATGCTTTCACAAGTGACAAGTGCCTCTATGGATGAGAAGCCAGTTCTCAGATCATCCATCCTCTTGTATCTAGTGATCATGGATCTGGGTAGGAGCCAAGACTAGACTTTTTCCCAAGGCAAATGAGCATTTTCTCAGTCACTGTGGCAACAAAGTCAGCAAAGTGAGCTTTTTCTTAGTTCTTTCTTCCTCAGTTGTTAGCAATCTGTCCGTGAAAAGCTCTTGGTGTCCAGTTACAGCTAGTATACCAGCAACACAGAAATCAATCCATTGTCATTAAAATAATTCAAAAGTGGGTAAAGACACAATAGAAAATTTTCACACTTCCTTCCACTTTGACCGGATCTGACCTCTATCTCCATGAGAGGATTAGGTATGGACGTCCTGGCCTATGGGAAGTGCTGGTGACTTCTTCCAACTAAAGCCAGGTTGATGTGACCAGTCTGTACAAGACTTTATCAATTCATACACTGAGAGCCCTGTGTCTCAAGACACCTCTCAGTACTGGACAAACCAGGATGGTTCATCACAAATTGTGCGGCCCCCTAAGCCTTAGTCCTTTAGCTGTTCTTGCAGTTCTGTGGGAATGACCCCCATTCTAAGCTCTATCCCTTCCATTGGGGTATTACTTACTACTTGAGATGTGACTCTTTGCTTCCCTGACACTATGTGTTTGGATGTTGTCTCTCCCTCTCAGATATAACAGTCTGTGCCCATGACCATGTCAGCTGGCATCTGATTGGGATGAGCTCTGGGCCAGAGTTGTTCTCTATTCACTTCAACGGCCAAGTCCTAGAGCAGAACAAGCACAAGGTGTCTACCATCACGCTGGTCAGTGCTACATCTACGACTGCAAACATGACTGTGAGCCCAGAAGGAAAATGGATTGTTTCTTCCCTCATCCCAAAGCATTATCAAGGCAAGGAGCCTTTCTGACCATCTTGTGTTGAGTACAGCACCATTTATTGTCCTTTACGCTTTTAGTCAACCCCACCTAGATGAACGCATCATGGTTCCCAACAACACCATTGCATCCTCTTAGACTCATGGCCCACTGGTTGGGGATGAAGGAAGTGCATGCATTAACAAAGACATTTTAAAATAAAGCAGAAGCTGAAGATATCTCTACATCTATGAAAGAGGAAGAAAATTGAACCTTCTGTAGATGTGTTCTTGGGTGTGTTTCACATGTAGCTAAGGGAAGGAACTCAGAGACTAGATAGAGTAGAGCAAACATCCACAAATTTAAAGAAGTACAGAGTTATCAAGACTGACAAGGCCAAACATGAGAATATGGTCCTGTATAGTGAAATGAGCACAAAAGCCTGGCACAGGAAAGAACACAATGAATGTGTGTTGAAAGGACCATAAACAATACATTCTCTGTTTTACTGGGGGAGGGTCTTACACTGTAGCCCAAGCTGGCCTTAAACTCACTATGTTCTCTAAGATAGCCTTGAACTCACGACAAAACCTTCCTGTCTCAGTCTCCCCAGTACTGGGATTATAGCCACGAGCCACCACATCAGCCAGAAATGGGCTTCAGAGAAAATCAGTGATTTGTCCTGAACCAGCGGGAGTCATGTGGTGCCATGTAAATGAAACAGTTAACTGTCATGTCACAGGTTTTTGCTTTTAGACTGTTGAGAAGAGCATTGAAGTTGATAGAGATGGAAATCTAAGCTAAACCTGTTACTATAGAAAACTGTTCCTTCCCACCAGGTGTGTAGGCACTTGTTTTCATTCTGAACAATGAAAATTAAGTTGAAGTGATGACACTGATAAACTATCACTGTGGTATATTTATTAATGGGAATAAGGCAAAAATAAAACCAAAATTATGGACAAGGGGTATTTTGAGTTACTACTAATCACATCAAGTATATAATATTATAAATAACAAGAAAAGACAAAATGTTTATATTTAGTTATTTTTGAGAGAGAGGGGGAAGGAGGGAGAAAGAGAGAGCTATGCTAAAGATTAAAATACATTAAAATACATAGAAAGCACACACTTGACCATAGACCTATACCCCAGCCCTAGTCCCAGGGCTTTAAGTTTGTTCCTGGTGAAGAAAAACAGGGATTCTTTCTAACTTCTTCCACTAGCCCTCGCCTCACCCTGCTTTCTACTCTTGCCTCCCATTAAAAGAGTGCGACCCAAATGGCTAAAAGTTGTCTGAGCATTACTTTGCTGTTATTATTTGTCCCCCACTAATTGGTTTAACCCCATCAAAATACACATTTTGATGAAATTTTCTCTTAAATTCTACTACTGACTTTATATCTTAATCCAGCTGGGATGCAGGCTTACATCGACATTAAAAACTGCCCAAAGAAAACCAGGAATCCCAAGACACTCACTCGAGAGCAGAGGCGTCACATGAAGAGGTGGGAGTACTTCATTGCTGCAGAAGAAGTCATCTGGAACTATGCACCTGTGATACCCGTAAATATGGACAAGTGAGTTGGAGTTCAGGCGACCGTACAAAGATTAGAAACGTGTTCCTCGGGATCCCTAGTGTGTGAAGCTGAAATCTGTTGTCACGAGTGGCCAGCTCTCAAGGGACATGTGTATTGCTTTCTGCCGAGGCATTCTTATCCTCATGAACATTTCAGTACACCTAATTCTTCATAGGAATGTGGCCTGGTGATAATAACAAGAATAACGGCAGCTAGAACTCAGTGAATGCTTGCTGCAACTAACCCTTGTAGTAGATGTTTGCAAAGGGCTTCACGTCAGGTCTGCAAGTTCAGTACTACTCTTCTGTTCTCGTACCTGAGAGAAGATACCAGAAAAAAAAAAAAATGGAAATTCCAGTAGCTCTTCATATGCCATCATAATAAGGAAAATGAAAGGGAAATTTTACTGGGATGCTTTGCTGCACTTATCAGACTAGCAGGTTCATAGTACATCATCAGTTGCCAAGGCTGTGGGAAACAAAACCTACTGCACATTCTGGTGGCCTAGTGTGCTTCTAAACCATTCTGTGGGATAACTTGACAAAATATGTTAGACTTGTAGGGACATATGTCCTTCCCCGCAACACTGTGCTCTTGGAATTTAATCATACAAAACTATTCTTGTTCACAGGTGGAGGGCTGTGTGAGTGGGGCGCTCACTGCTGCACTGTTAATAGTAATAAAAAAATGGGAATATCAATTCCAAAAGTTCATCATTTGGAAAAGAGTAACAAGTTATATCACATTCATGCAATGGAATGCTATGAATCGAAAGAGAGAGAGAGAGAGAGGGAGAGAGAGAGAGAGAGAGAGAGAGAGGGAAAGAAAGAAAAGGCTAGAAGGAAGAAAGGAAGGAAGGAATGAAGGAGAAAGATGCAGACATTCTCCATCCATGTATTGCTTCTCATCGGGTACCTATGACTTATTCATAGGTGGAGGAGGTGACTAGCTTTTGGCTACATGGAAGACATCAGGATGTTGTAAACTACACTAAGAATTTTCCCAGAAGTAGCTTTTTTAGCTAACCCCAAAGCATAACTTGCATGTGCAAGCCCCTCACCCCAACCTGCACATCACACTGGACTCTCTACTTGAGTAGTTTAACTTTTGTTTTATTATTACATTTCACTTTAAGGAAATACAGGTCTTTGCACTTGGATAATTTCTCAAACCAAATTGGAAAACAGTATAAGAAAGTTATTTACAGACAGTATGAGGACGAGAACTTCACCAAACGCACGGAGAATTCCAATATCAAACAAAGTGGGATTCTGGGTCCTATTATCAGAGCCCAGGTCAGGGACACACTCAAGGTAAGCAAAGACACACCGGAAGCACAGAAGAATTGGTGCATGGGAGAGGGGTCAGGGGTTGACAGTTTCTGATATTTTTTAATGTTTTCAGAAAATTTTAAATTCAAACACAGCTTTTAGTTTTATTTAGTATTTTGTTCATTTACAGCCTACTCAATAGTACAAGGGATCTTGACGGATAATCAAACTAGAAGGGAATAAAACAGAGTCACTGTCATTGGAGGAATGAAGAATAATATGGAAGCAAAGAACGTGAGGTCACAAATAAGCATAATGAAAGAATCCCAAGGCTGTCTGCAAAGTTAGTACTAACATTCATAGCAAACTAACAGTGAAATATGCCTGAGCAAGATTTACCTGCTTACCTGTGAACATAGCACAATTCACCTGAGGTAGAGAGCCAGGAGAAATTCCTTATCGTGTGATTTAAAATCAGTGTCCTTGACAAGATCCCCACAACTGTCACAAAACAGGGAGTTGGTTCGATTTTGAAAATATCATTTCTCTTTATCATTGTGAATATCCAAGTCAGGAGAGTAAAGAGAAAATAACTCTTCAGGGAAGTCTAAGTATGCGGCTCTAATGACTGGTCTCTATTAAATCTGCATTTATATGTGTTGGGCAGGCAAGAAAGCTCAGTGCATAAAGGAATTTGATGCCAAGCCTGAATACCTAAGTTCATTACCTGGGGTCTATTGTGGAGATAATCAACTCCTACAGGTTGTTTACTGACCTCGCATGCATGCATGCCCTTAAACGCGCGCGTGCGCGCACACACACACACACGCACACACACACAATGTAATAACAATTTGCTTGCACATTATATTGTATCACATCACAGAGCTAGGTAAGGACCCAAGCAGCAGACAAATGAAGGCTGAAATCTTTGGAAAGGATGTAGATAATCTACAGATCAAGGTTGATTTAAAGCCAGCAAACCATGTAGAAAATGTTGTTAGGCAAAATATTATTATTATTATTGTTATTGTTACTACTACTACTACTACTGGAAAATTAGGACTTCTATGAAAACCATGCCCCAGGCAAAGCCTGTTTTATTCATTTGAAAATAATTAGGTGACAAAGCCTTCTTTCCATTTTTCCTTCCTTCCCTCATCTTGGCTTTGGGTTTCTGCATGAGCTTATTCTATTTGGAACTCAGGATCTGACTATTGGGACCCTTTTGGAAGATGACTTCATTGACAATGATCTCAGAGAATCTGGCAGAGAGGCATCATGGTCTATAGGAGAAAAGGAATAGATGTGGCCCAATCTGAAAGAATGAGGGAAAGATGTGGGGACCACTTGGGAGAGGATAATGTGCTGTGAGGGAAAGGAAATGTAATTCTTTTTTTGTTGTTTTTTTGTTTTTGTTTTTGTTTTTGTTTTTGAGACAAAGTTTCTCTGTATTGCCAATCTAGCTCTGTAGATCAGGCTGGACTTGAACTCACAGAGATCTGACTGTCTCTGCTTCCTGAGTGCTGGGATTAAAGGCGTGTGCCACCAACGGCCAGCAGGAAATGTAATTCCTCCTAAGCTGTCCTCCAGGGACAAACTTCTACTTTTCATCTTTATATGGGAGTAAAACTCCCCCAGGCTCCTTCCTGTCTGGTAATGGGGGCAAGACTGCTCCTCTGATAAACAGAACTGATTTTTCACTGCTTGCATACAACCTGTGGGTGCACACCTGCATGTCACATACATACCTGCCCACACAGGCACACGCACGTGTGTGGGCACACACACACATGCACAAAAGGTAAATGTGCAAAGCTGCCATCTTCTTGTCTAATAGTTCTCATGAGTGACCTTAAATACTGAAATAATATGACTTAATTTTGTAGGTCGTGTTCAAAAATATGGCCAGCCGACCCTACAGCATTTACCCTCATGGGGTGACATTCTCTCCTTATGAAGACGAAGTCAACTCTTCCTCCACCTCAGGTGGGAACCTTTCATTTCTACTGAATGAGACTGTAGATCTCTGAGGGACTTCCATAATTTTCTCTTGCCCTATTTTCTCAGTGGTTATGACAAGTTTAGTCAATAAAACTCATGGGGGGGGGGATCCCTAAAACTCCCAGACAAACCTCTCTTACTTTAATAGTTACAAATGCAATACTTTTCTGAGTGTCGTTGGCGGCATCTAGTGGAGAAATATTGAACAGCTACATGCTGTCTGTATTCAAGAGTTTAATACAAAAAGAACATTTCTTTCCTGATATTAATTACTCTAAATAAAAGCTAAGGAAGATATTCATTATGATGAAATAATTTCCCTTAAAACTAATAGCCTGCATTTCTTTCAGGCAGTCACACCATGATCAGACCAGTTCAACCAGGGGAAACCTACACATATAAATGGAACATTCTAGAATTTGACGAACCCACAGAAAATGACGCCCAGTGCCTAACAAGGCCTTACTACAGTGATGTGGATGTCACCAGGGACCTTGCCTCTGGGCTAATAGGTCTGCTTCTAATCTGTAAGAGCAGGTCCCTGGACCAGAGAGGCATACAGGTATTTCATCCTTAAAGTCCACTTTAAAATAGGGATTTCTCCTGGCTGAAGCAGATTAGGTCTTCCTACTGGACAATAGGGTTTTTCCCTATAAAATACAGCAACCATTCATCTTCTTTAGCAGCAGTGTGATAATGTTTATCATTGGGGATCATCTTTATGTTGCTGCTCTTTCTCTTTTCCTGTGGACTCTCAGTGCAGAAAGTGTATGCCCAGTGTGATGCCAGATTTTATTTACTTTCAAATCCCAGGCTTCTTGGTATTGCCTGTGTGATGAAGAAGCCAGCCAAGCTCTTTTAATTCTTTCCTCTGATCAAATAAGTAACAACATCCCCTGCAGCAATCTGTTTACAGGGTGGCATAGGAGTGCAATGTATACTGGGTACCCATCTTTTCTGTTTTCAGGGGCACACAACAGAGACAGGAGAGAGGACGCACTTAGAGCAGGGACATTTGGAGCCATGGTTTTTTGATTGTTTGTTTGGCTGGTTTTTTGTTGTTGTTGTTTTGCTTTTTTTTTGCTGTTGTTGTTTTTATTTTTTTGAGACAGGGTTTCTCTGTGTAGCCATGGCTGTTCTAGAACTTACTCTGTAGACCAAACTGACCTCAAACTTGCAGAGATCCACCTGCCTCTGCCTCCCAAGTGCTAGAATTAAGGACTTGTGCCACCACTGTCCATCTGGAGCCATAATTTTTAGTGAAATTGGAGCCTGTCAAAAGTCTTTCTTTGGTAAGACTAAGTTGCAGCAAAGAATGTAATGAAGAGACTGGATTTCTGAGTTTGTTTTAAGACATGGTCTCATGCGGCCTAGCTTGGCCTCAAACTCACTATATGGGCTAGGATGACCTTAGACCTTTTAAATTTGTCTTTTCTTCCCAATTTTTATTTTTATTTTATGTGTATGGGTGTTTTGCTTGCATGCATGTCTTTGTACTGTGTATACCTGGTGTCCAAGAGGCCAGAAGAGGGTGTTAAATCCCTGGAACTGTAGTTACAGATGGTTGCAAGCTGGCATGTGGATGATGGGAATTGAACCCAGGTCCTCAGCCAGTGCTCTTAATCACTGAACCATCTCTCCAGCCTGCCCCCTTGTTTGTTTGTTGTTGTTGCTTCTTTATTTTTGTTTTGAGAGAGGTTTCTCTTGTGGTTCAGACAAGCCTCAAACTGATCATGTAACCTGGGGTAACCTTGCACTTCTGTGTCTCTCAAATGCCGAGATTAGAGACATCTGCCACCACACCAGGTATTTGTGGTGCTGGGGATTGAACCCAGGGCTGTATGCATGCTAGGCAAGCACTTTACCAACTGAACTACATTCCCAGCGTCCTGAGTTTATCTTCATTGAAAATGAATAGTCTTGTATTATTCACTGAAAATTATCATTAGGCTAAATAAAAGTGAAAGAGGTCTTCTCCAAAGGCATGCAAAGTAGGTGGTTGGCTAGAAAAGTCAGAATATTTGCAAGATCCTGATTTATTGATGTAGCAAAGAACAGAGGGAAGGATAGGCATGCAGCTTCCCTGTTGCAGCCTTCTGATCATCCTTTTCACCATTTGGAACACATTCAGTCATTAGTTTTGAAAAGTGCTAGATTACAGACATACACAGACTTACGGGTGTTGTATGAGATAGCAGTTTTCCCCTGAGTACTTTGACTGAGTTCTCTGACCCCTTCTCCTTGCTTTCTCGTATTAGCTTTATCTCTGACAAGTGTTTGGTACATAATAGGCTCTTATAGGTGCCTGACATGTGGCTTCTCTGGACCCAACAGCAATGGGGAAATAGGCAGCCAACTGTAGCTTTAATCCCTGCCTTTCACCCTGCAGAGGGCAGCAGACATTGAGCAGCAGGCTGTGTTCGCTGTGTTCGATGAGAACAAGAGCTGGTACATTGAGGACAACATCAACAAGTTTTGTGAAAACCCTGAGGAGGTGAAACGTGATGACCCCAAGTTTTACGAATCAAATATCATGAGCAGTAAGTGAGAGCCCCCACTTTTATCTGTCCCTTTCACTCTGATGGTCACAGTGTGTCTTTATCCAAAGGCAAAAATATGATGATGTTATCCTCTCTCAAAAGCTACCCCTCCTTTCCTCACTCACAGTCCAAGGACTTGGTGATGGGAGGCTGGGCACCACTGCACCCAAAGCTTCTTGTCTTTTAAGAAAAGATTCAAAACCTGATGATCCTTTAAGTCAGAGTGCCCTCCTGCCTCCAAATTGTGTGTGTGTGTGTGTGTCTGTCTGTCTGTTGTGTATTACGGTGTGTGTGTATGTGTGCATGTGTGTGCAATGTGTATGAATGTGTGTGTTATGGTATGTGGTGTATGTGTTTGTGTGTATTGTGGTGTGTGTGTATGTGTGCATTGTTGTGTGCAGTGTGTATGAGTATGTGTGCTGTGATATGTGTGGGTATGTGTGTAATGTGTGGTGTCTATTGTAGTACATGATGTATGTATGGTATGTGTGTGAGTGTGCGCTGTGGTATGTGATATGTGTGTGTGTGCATGTGTGTGTGTGTGCAGTGTGTATGAGTGTCTGTGGTGTGCTATGTGTGGTCTATGGTTGTGTGTGTGTGTGTGGTATGTGTGTAGTATGTGTGGTGTGTGTGTCTGTGTATGTGCTTGTGTGTGTTTAAGTGTACATACTCTAGGCAGTGATGAAGGCTGGGAAGAAAGGCACTGAGGGACTTGATCAGTAGTACCTGAGGGTTTTAGAATGCGCATGGCGAAGATCCTCTAGTTGATGCCAGGACAGAAACAAGATGTTTTCTAAAGAAAGCTGCATTCTCAAATCAGAGCCAAACAAGATGAGATGAGTGTCAGAACAAGGCAGTGCGTGCAGAGGTCTGAAGAGAAAGCACCCCCAGAGGTATTCAGAGCAGAAGGCAGGCTCTCTGAGCCATAGTTCTGACACTTGCTGTGATTCCAAAGTTCATTGTCATGAGGAGTCTGAGATGAATTTCACTGTGGTGTCTGCAAGCAGTTTCCTCCAACAATCAGTACCCCCTTCTCCGCCCCCCAATACTCCACTGTTCCTCCATCACCTTTCCTGAGGAATAATCACCTCCATGCAGGTGATTTCCCAAGGTCTGTTCACAGAGCCTCAGGACAGACAGGTGCCACATTCAGCTGTCATCTTATACTTTCCTTTCAGCAATGGGTCTGTGATAGCCCTAGACCTACAGCTCTAGATCAGTGCTGCCCAACAAAAATTACATGTGGGTCACTTACATTAATTTTCTGGCAAGTTGAAAAGTAAAGAGAAATAGGTGAAAGTAATTAGAATAATGTTTTATCCAGCTCAATATACTTCAGATTCTATCTTTTTTGTTGTTGTTTTGAGACAAGATCTCATGATGTAAGAATTTACAATTTTTAAGTGTAGTAGAAAAATGGGATCAGTTTTATTATTGTCTTTGCAGTACGCTGTGTATTTGATCCTTAAAGCACATGTCAATGAACTCTACATACATTCTACATTTCACTCATAGTTTTGTAGCCAGTGTCCATAATATTAAATCACTTAGAAAGGCATCTAGAATGTTGTAGAAACTAAGAACACACACTTCCAGCAACTCAACATGTATTTGGTACATAGTCACTTAAATTTGTTTTTTAGTACCAAGCACCATACATACTAGGACTGTGGCCACAGTGGTAACTTGGGTGTACAGTTTGTGCCCTCAAACAAATCATATCTTAATTGGATTACCATGCTCAATACATACATAAATAAAGATGTTGCACAAAGTGGTGTTTTTAAAGATAATTAAAATATATGAACTCAATATTTCAGTGGAAACTATTAGGTTAACTGTAGGTCAACTGTAGGTTACAGATAATAGGTATTGATGATGATGATCGTAAGCTCCCTTTTTTGTGACATTCATTTTTACAACTACTATGTCAAGAAGACAAAGTTCTTATATATAGACTTGTCTTGGACAATCTAAATCAATTATGAGAATATATTTACAGCAGAGAACAAAGTAACATTTTATATGTGAGTGAAAGTCTTTGTTTTTATCCTGAATTTTCCCCGTCAACTAACTCAGGAGCATCAGCCATCACATTGGGAAGTTGAATGTGATCTACTTACACATTAGACATCATGAAGCTTACCTTTAGTAACCAGGGCTTTAATGCAGCCAAATGAATGTAGGGGTGTTTGTCCTGGGTGTAATTAGACATGAATCCTCCTATTGTACAGGCCTGGAAATTGACAGATTTTACTCTTTCAGCTATCAATGGCTATGTACCTGAAAGCATATCCACTCTGGGATTTTGTTTTGATGACACTGTCCAGTGGCACTTCTGCAGTGTGGGAACTTATGATGATGTTTTGACTATCCACTTCACTGGGCATTCTTTCATCTACGGGAAGAGGCACGAGGACACACTGACCCTGTTCCCCATGCGCGGTGAATCCGTGACTGTCACAATGGATAATGTTGGTAAGAGTGTCGATATTGGAAGAGAAAACTGATAGAATCTCAGGTGGTAAAGGTCTTCGGGGCCCCTGCAGGCTCACCTTGCCTTGATTCTCATTGTTTATAGTTGGGAAATTAATGGGTTGGATAGAGCCAGTTTTATACCAACTCCATTTGCATGTCCCTGGAACAACTGGGCAGTAAAGATATATGATGGCAGAAAGACAAATATAACCACGAAGATTCAGCATAAAGATATTAGCCATGAAGGCAACCTTTGGTGTTATTCCTCAAGTGTTGCCAACCATTTTATGAAACATTGGCATGGAATAAGCCAAACAGGCTATAATAACTGTCCAGTGGACCCCAAGGAGCCACTATCACTTCCCCAGAGGTGGTATTACAGACCTGGGCTATCCTGCCTGACTTTTTTTTTTTAAACATGAATTCTGGGGATCAAACTCAGGTCCTTATGCTAGTTGAGTTGAGCTATCTCCTTAATCCCACCTTTTAACTTCTTTTTAGAGACCATCTCACCCTCAGGTGAACAATCATTAAATAATCCCTGGAAACTGTCTCAGAAACAGCATTGGCATATAAGACCCAAGTTCAAATCCCTCTCTGCCACTCAATGTTTTGCAACTTTAGACCGGTTACTTGCACTTGCTAAGTCTTAAATCACCCATTGAAAAGCATGACAGTGCTTTATAGCTGCTTCAGCTCCTAGTTGTAGATAATGCCAAGTGCCTAGCATTCAACAAGTGTTTGCTATTGGAGATATCCCAGGTCATACTTAGTGTGTCAGTAATTCACTTTCAAAATGACTCAAACTCACCCTGTCCCCACATACATTGTTCCTTAGAAATGCCTAAATACCCCTTCTTTGTGGGAAGACAACCCCACCACCATCTCCCAAACTCAGACAAAATGTAAAACTAGGCAGATGGTAATGACTTTCAAGGTCTGTTTTATCACTGCTTTCCCCCTTCCCTTGCTATATTCTAAAACAGCAATTCTTGGACAATCCAAACTGAAGGTTTCTCTTTTTCTCCTTAATCTCCATTCTTTCTCCATACTTTAATGCTAGGTTCTGTTAAATACCCTAGCCTATAATAATCCTGTGTTTAGATACCAAAACACTGTCAAGTTACATTTTTAAAAAATCCCTAAACACATTATTCTTAGTTTTCCTCCTTATGTCACTGTTGCTCAGTAACTCACCAGCATGATCCATAGTTCACACATGGCTACCTCTGCTTAAAATTCACTAGAAAATATTTCCCCATCAGATCCTGGTGTTTTTGGAACTTTTCCTGAGTTTCCTACCTTCTCTTCTCTGTCTTTCCTTTGAAGGAACGTGGATGTTAACTACCATGAATTCCAATCCAAGATGCAAAAACCTAAGACTGAGATTCAGGGATGTTAAATGTATCCGGAATGATGATGATGAAGATTCATATGAGATTTATGAACCTTTCGCACCTACATCCATGACAACTCGGAAAATTCATGATTCTTCAGAAAATGAGCTTGATGTTGACAATGAAGACTATGATTACCAGTATACATTGGCTTCAGCGTTAGGGATTAGGTCATTCAGAAATGCATCATTGAGTCGGGAGGAAGATGAGTTCAATCTTACAGCTCTTGCTCTAGAGAACAGCTCAGAGTTCATATTTCAAAACACAGATAGAGTTAATGACTCAAAGTCTTCTCCAAGAAACCATAGTGGAATGACTGGTAGTAACCTCAAAGAAGCTCAAAGAATCCCTCCTGGATCAGGAGCCACCGTAACTGGTTCCCTCCTGAAAGACCTCACTGGCTTAGATGAGAATTCTGTTCTCATCCCTGCCACAGAGCATCATTCCAGCTCATATTATGAAAGTGATGTGGAAGACTCACAGTCGGACATCACAGTGGTTCACCTACTTCCCTTTGGTGCAAAAGGAGCAAGGAGCCAAGAGCATGCTAAGCATAAAAAAGCCAAGTCAGAAAGACCCCACCTCATGAAGCATAGGTCTCCCCACATGAAAGTACCAGCCCAAAAAACTGAGAGGCATTCAAACCCAAAGAACACTTACTCCAGAATGAGGTCAAGGGAGGAAATACCCATTGAGTTGTTCCTCTTAAAACAAAAGAACACATCCAAATTTTTTAATAGAGAGTGGTATTTGGCTTCTGAAAAGGGTAGTTATGAAATTGTACCAGCAAGTGGTGAAGACACACCTGCTGAGATGCTTCCAAACAGCCCTCAAAACCAGAACATCTCAATGACTTGGAGTGATAGCACCTCCCCTACAAAAACAGCGGGAAAGCCAAGTGACAAGCCAATGTTTTCTAGAGTTAGACATAAATCTCCCCAAATCAGACAAGAAGAAGGAAACAGTGGCTTGAAGAAAAGACAGCTGTTCATTAGGACACGAAAGAAGAAGAAGGATAAGAAGCTTGCACTCCACAGTCCTCTATCTCCAAGGGGCTTCCACCCCCTAAAAGGAGAAGTTCAGCTCACATTTTTAGATCAGAGACTCAATCGCTCACTGTTACCCCATGAGCCCAATGAAACAGCTCCTACCATAGAACTGAATCAGACCTCCCCTTCAACAAGTATTGACAGGTCACTTCCTGACCATAATCACACCCTGCCACATGACACTGGGCAGAAGAGCTCTGCTTTTGATCTGCCCCCAGAGGAACACTCTCCAACATTTCCTGTCCAAGAGCCTGATCAAACACACTCTGCCGCAGACCTTAGTCACAGATCCTCTCTTCCACAGCCCAGCCAGGAGCTTGACTATGACCTAAGCCATGAATCCTACCCTGAAGACATTGGTCAAACATCTTTTTTTCCAGACCAAAGTAAAAAATCTCTCTCTTCAAAAGATGGCCAAACAAGTCCCTCCTCAGACCTAAGCCTCTTTACCCTCTCTCCAGAATTGGATAAGACAATTATTGCTCCAGACCTGGGCCAGATAGCCCTTTCTCCAGATGACAACCAGATGATCTCCTCCCAAGACCTGGGTCAGGTACCCCTTTCTCCAGATGACAACCAGATGGCCTCCTCCCCAGACCTGGGCCAGGTACCCCTTTCTCCAGATGACAACCAGATGGCCTCCTCCCCAGACCTGGGCCAGGTGCCCCTTTATCCAAATGACAACCAGATGACCTTCCTCCAAGACCTGGGTCAGGTACCCTTTTCTCCAGATGACAACCAGATGACCTCCTCCCTAGACCTGGGTCAGGTTCCACTTTCTCCAGATGACAACCAGATGACCTCCTCCCTAGACCTGGGTCAGGTTCCACTTTCTCCAGATGACAACCAGATGACCTCCTCCCTAGACCTGGGTCAGGTTCCACTTTCTCCAGATGACAACCAGATGACCTCCTCCCCAGACCTGGGTCAGGTGCCACTTTCTCCAGACAACACCCAAAACTCCTCCCTAGAAGACCTTAGCCTCTTGACTCTCCCTCCAGAATTTGATGAGGTAGCCCTTTCTCAGGATTTGGATGAGATGCCCCTCTCTTCAGACTTCAGTCAGGTGACCCTCTCCCCAGACCTCAGCCCTTTGACCCTCTCTCCAGATTTTGATGAGATAATCTTATCCTCAGACCTCAGTCAGGTTACCCTTTCCCCAGACCTCATCCAGACAAGCCTCCCTCTTAACCACAGGCACAAAACAGCCTCTTCAGATCCTGGTCAAACATCCTACCCTTCATATTCTGGTCAGTCTTCACTCCTTCCAGAACTGAACCAGACTCTTTCAGATCCCATTCACATGCCATCTCCTTTACCGTCATCACCCACACTCAATAACACTTCTGTGCCCGAGGAATTTAACCCTCTTGTTGTAGTAGGTCTCAGTAGAGTTGATGGAGATGACATTGAAATTATTCCAAATGAGGAGCTGGAAAGCATTGACGATGATGATTATGCTGAAGATGATTATGTAACCTATAGTGACCCCTACAAAACAGACACCAGGACAGACATCAACTCCTCCAGAAATCCGGATACTATTGCAGCATGGTACCTTCGAGGTCATGGTGGAAACAAACAATACTATTTTATTGCTGCTGAAGAAATATCCTGGGATTATTCAAAATTTGCCCAAAGGTTTGGCTAGTTTTCTCTCTTTATATTCTCATTTTTCCACTGTTGCCATGAAAATTACCTACAACAGTTCTCAGAAGATTTTGAACAAACTGTGGTTTATATTGTCTAAGTCTCCTATTTCATCTGGGCCTGTGATATTTCCTTTGTCATTTCCAACACTAGCTTTGTCTACACTTTATATGGCACTAGGCAAAAAAGAACCAATACTGCATAAGTCTGTGGTATCCTATGGGTAAATATGTCTCCCCTTCTGTCTCATATCCACTTACCACACATGCTCCTATCCCCCTTTTCCTGATCTAATACATATCTTTACATATGAATAGCTATCTGCTAACCAATATGGTTTAAGTGAGGTTGACTTCCAGTCTAAACTTTAACAGAAATCTCCATTTGCATCTACTTGTTAACCACAGTTTCTAAGAAATCCAGTTACTCCTTTGTTTTTAATATCATTTTCAATTCAACGTTACTGAAAGATGGAAAACCACACTGGGCTGGGCCCTGTATTCTGGGATGAAAACTACAGATTAGTCAACTACAGATTCACCCGGGTATATCTGGGTTACTGTACACAATAAACAGCTTGTAGTGGTTAAAAAGAGCTGCCACACTAATATTCTAAAAGTATGATTATAGTACACAAACACAATGTACATTGAGACTGAGCCACCTCGGATTATGCATACAATGGCTGTCATTCTCTCTTTAGAATTCTTTAAAATGTTTTTCCCTGTGACTTCTCACTTAAATGCAGTGCCCATTTCTACTTGGGAACGAACTAATTATATGAGTATTTCTAAGATAAGCTTTGGAGAGACAGGATTGTAGCTTTTACACAGAGTAGAAAGAGAAAGAGTGGGAGTCAGTTCCTTCAAAAGTCTTACCCCTCGGGCCTGAGACTGGCTCTTATGGCTGACAGAGATGTTTGCCTGCTCCATGTGGTTTGTGAGGCTATGTGGCTAGATGGGGTCAGCAGGGAAGAAAATAGGAGGGAAGGCAGAATAAGTTTCTTCATTGATTGTTTTGGGGAGACAATGACTATTAAGCATTTGAAGGATGAGTTTTGGAACTTATGTCTATATATAGACTTGAGAGATTTGAATCTGCAAGAGAATTTGATGCCCTTTGGCCTCTTGTTAAGTTGATGAGATCCGTGGAAAATAATGTCTTAGATTTATATTTAATTAAGCTTTTTATTTTGAGATAATTGTGGAGTCATACATTGTTGTGAGAAATTGCACAATATTCCTTGTGTGCTTTACCTTGTTCCCCCCAGCGGTAGTCTCTTAGAAAACTATGTTATACAAACAGTATATGGACCTTGCTGCTGTCTTGAGAGACAACATTTCCATCTATGCGCGCGCGCGCGCGCGCACACACACACACACACACACACACACCTCATAGTGCCCTTGTGCATAATCATTCACCTCCCTTTCACCATACTCCTCCTTAACACTGCAGCCACTGGTCAGATCTCTATTTCTGTCATTTCATCATTCCATGACCATTGCATCATGCAGCATGTGATCTTGGGGGACTGACTTTTTTTTTTTTTTTAACCACTAAACATAGTTCTCCAGAGATTCACCCTCATTACTACACACTCTAACAACTCATTCTATTGCTTGGTAGGCCTTCACATGACATCTACCACAAGTTTTTTGTTTTTTCTGCTGTTTGTGTATATTGATGGTGACAAACTGAGGGGCTTCAATGCACATGGAAGTATCCCAAGCTAACGGACACATACATGGCATCATACACTGATTTTCTGTTAGAGAACACAATGATTAATTATTGTTGTCATGCAGTAACTCCTGAAGTTACATTTGCTCTCTAAATGAAATTTTTTATCTTTTGACCAACATCTTCCTGGTTGGCTTGCCTCTAAGTCCCTGGTGACCACTCTACCTGAATAAGTTTTTCTCTTTCTATGCCTAGCTCATCTTATTTAGCAACATGACATATTTTTCTTCTTTGTGTGTGTGTGTGTGTGTGTGTGTGTGTGTGTGTGTGTGTGTGTGTGATTTTCTTTCTCCAGTCATTCATAGATAGACACTTACGTTGATTATGTTTTGGGCTGTTATAAATAATGCTGTGATAATGAAGCCATTTCTTTGATGTACAAGTCTCAGCTTCAGTTCTGTGGCCCAAAATGAGATTTCCAGCCAGGTGTGATAGCACATTTTAATCCCAGCACTTGGGAGGCAGAAGCAGATAGATCTCTGTGAGTTCAAGGCCAGCCAGGTCTATATAATGTAGCAACTTCTAGGTTAGTTAGTATTGCATAGTGAAAGCCCACCTCAAGAAAAAAAGGGAGGGGGAGAGAGAGAGAAAGGAGGCTGCAATGTATGTCGTAGTTCTATGCTTAATTTTTGAGCAACCGCAGTGCTATTTTTCATAATGTGCTATAAATTAGTTTAGACTCATATTTTTCAGTTTTAAAGGGTTTCTTTTGATCCATGTGATTGTCATCACTTATCTCTTATTCCTATAACCACCATCTTAATTTAAAGTGGTATCTTTGGGATTTTAATTTTCAGTTTTTGGTTACTAATATGAGCATTTTTATATACTTATTGGCAATTTCTAAGTCTTCTTTTGATAATATATCAAATTTTTAATAGACTATGTATGAAAGTTGTTTCCATATTACTATATTTGTTTACCAACACATAATTAATAATAATGTGTGATAATAATGTATGTTCTTTGCCTATTATTATTCAGTAGGTATTTATTCCTTATCAGATACATGATTATCAATGTGTCCTCCCACCGTATAGATTGTTTCTTAATTCTCTTGACTGTCTCCTTTGTTGTGTGTAAACATCAGTCTGATATCTGCCCCACTTGTGTTCTGTTGCCTGTATTTCGAGAGTCCTGTCATGAAATGCTCGGACCAGTGTCTAAAAGTTTAGGGATAGTGTGCTTTAGCAAAATCAATGCTAAGGACTGCCAGTCAGGGTAAAAGACATTCATCTATCCAATTGCCTTCATGAAGGGTCCTTCTCTTCAGCTGACCACCATCTGAACACACCACTCTGGAACAAACCCATTGAGTGATTGTGTCTGTATTTGGTATTAAAATGTCTGTTACTATATTATTATATTTTTTATTAATGTGTGTGCTTGACAAAAGCATATTAAGTGCCTACTGCATGCTAAATAGCATGCTAAGAATTGGAGGAAGTACCATGAGCAGACTGGGTGGAATACTGGGTCTCAAAGGACTTACTCCTTAGTGGAAGAGCGAGACATTAATAGATCTCTCAGATCTCACATAATTTATTATATACACTGTAGAAATACTATAGGGCTTCTATAGGAATTTATTGTGTAGACTATAATACTATATATACATATTCATATATACATGCATATGTATATATACATATATGAAATTATACTTGACCCAGTCCAAGATATCCTAGGAAGTCTTACTTAAGAAAGTATATGTGAATGCTAAGTGTTGGTGGTGCATGCCTTTATTCCCAACACTTGGGAGGCAAAAGCAAGGGATCTCTGTGAGTTTGAGACCAGCCTGGTCTATGGAGTGAGTTCCAAGGTGAGCTCCAAAGCTACACAGAGAAACCCTGTCTCAAAACACACATATACACACACACAAAGAAAGAAAAGAAATTATATTTGAGCAGCAAATTAAAATATATGTGGTCGCCTGTGTTTTCATTTACATATATTCATTTACTTATACATGAAGTGGTTATTAAGTACTTTATTGCTAGTTACCTGATTATATCCTAAAGTCTTTTTAAATTTTTATTTTTATTTTATTTTATTCAGGCATGAATGCCTGAATGTATGCATGCAAGCTGTATGTATGTGTGCTTGGCACCCTCAAAGCCAGAATACCCCTCGAACTAGAGTTACAGTGGTTGTAAACTGCCCACAGTAGGTACTGGGAACCAAACCAGGGTCCTCTGGAAGAGCAACTAGTCCTCTTAACTGCTGAACCATCTCTCCTAGATTTAATTTTTGTTTTTAATGAATGCTATTGCTGTCATTTTAGTGAAATGGACAATGAAGATACTGATGCCACTCCAAAGGACACCACATACAAGAAAGTTGTTTTCAGAAAATACCTTGACAGCACTTTCACCAGACGTGACCCTCGGGGGGAGTACGAGGAGCATCTGGGGATTCTTGGTCCTGTTATCAGAGCTGAAGTGGATGATGTGATCCAAGTAAGCCATGGCTTTGGCCTTCTAAATCTGCAGGGCTTTGCCACAAATGCCAAAGCTCTTAAGCTGAAGGCACAAAAACGATAGGTGTTTTGCTTCCCCAAACCAACAAATAACTGCATCCCCCTCCCAGAGACTGCTTGGCTATTTGACAATGTTTGAGATTTAAAAGAAAAAAAAATACCGTAGACTTTTTAACCCTAAAAATGATTTAATGTGGAATAGATAGCCTTGGCTTTTCCAGCTGAAGCCAGCGCGTGTTGAGCTAACATGGAAAATGATTCGACTGTGTTCCATGGCAGAAGTGGCGGCAGCAACTGCAGTAATTTATAAGAGGCAAGATGTCTTTCTGCCCTAAAAGAGTGAGCCAGTTTCTTAAGCATTTTACCAACCTTAGTCATTGATTGCTTTCAAAACCCTGTATCTAGTTCCTAGCCAATAGCATGCTTTTATAAGATAGTATATCTCCCCAGCCCATCCTGACCTCTCATGTATCAAACAAAAGCAAAATAATAGCAACAATAAATAAACAAAAGACAAGAAAAAAGTGTTCCTCACCTAAAGAGCATTCTATGTCCAAAAGCATAACATTTTTACCTGTGTGAGTATCTGCCAATTGGCCAGGGACCATTTGCTCCTTTTCAAAAGGCATGCACCTATGGGGAGATGAGTGGGTAAAGAGTAAATACTTAGCATGTAATATGCAAGATCGGAGCCTTGAACTCCAACACAATAAAACCAATTAATCAATCACAGGAGGCAATGGTAATCTGTGTTAGTGAGCTTCCTGTTGCTGTGATAAAATACCCAAGATAACAACCCAAAGGAGGAAAAACATCTTTTAGTCCATGATTTCAATGACGGTTGCTTGACTTCCTTGCTTTGGGTCCTGCATTAAATCAAGTTAATATGCAGAAATTAATTTGCATTTGTAAACATACAGTACAGCTTAGCTTTGACATCATAACTGCCTGTCATAGCCTATAGTGCTGACAGCTTTTGGTCTGGTATGCTAATACATTTGTGGGTTACTCTTTTTCTCTAGGTTCGCTTTAAAAATTTAGCATCCAGGCCATATTCTCTTCATGCCCATGGACTCTCCTATGAGAAGTCCTCTGAGGGAAAGACTTATGAAGATGACTCCCCTGAATGGTTTCAGGAAGACAACGCTGTACAGCCCAATAGCAGTTATACGTATGTATGGCACGCCACTGAGCGCTCTGGGCCAGAGAACCCTGGCTCTGCCTGCCGGGCTTGGGCCTACTACTCTGCAGTGAATGTGGTAGGTTTCAAGTTCTGATCACTCCCCTCACTGTATAGCCACAGTTCATTGTTTCTTGTTAAAAGCCTCCCCTACAGGCTGATGGGCCCTGGTGCACACCTTTAATCCCAGCACTCAGGAGGCAGAGGGAGGCAGGTCTCTGTGAGGCCAGCCTGGTCTATAGAGTGAGTTCCAGGACAGTCAGGGCTACACAGAGAAACCCTGTATTAAAAAACCAAAAGAAAGAAAGAAAAAAAAAAGCCTCCCGTGCTTTTCATTGGACATCTGACAGGGCTGCCATTCACAGTGTGGCTACCACAGCCAGGGATTCTCCACACAGTTCATCTGATGCAGCACAGAAAAAAAAAAGGTTCATATGTAAGACATCATGGGGATTACATAAATGAGGGAGCTGAGTATGCTCACAGAGAACCATGCTCATTTGCAATTTAAAAGTAGTATGTCTTAAGACAGATTTTGTGGGACTCCAGGAGGTTGGAAGGGCACAAGGGAGGGACTGAGCCAACTATGTGGGCACAGATCACATGCTGGGGTTGGGGTTTAAGGAGGAAATTTGTTTCCCTACTCCACTTGGGCCATGAGGAGATTAAATTTGTTACTTAATGAGTGGCCTTTGCTAATAAAGAACACAGTGATAAGAAGGCAGCCCTGTTCTGAGTTAAATAAGGACACAGAGAGGAGGCTGCGGCGTTCCCAGAGGAATAAGCCAGGCACATTCCATCCTGTCCAGCTCCCACAGGAAGGTAGGAACAACTAGTTTCTCTGGGCAAACTAGCAACTGTGATGATCATGACAAGCTGTGCCCACCTCCCATCTTCTTGGCTGGCCTTGGGTGCCCAGGAAACCCAGAAGGAAGCCAGTATCCATGCTATTCCCACTGGACACTCAACTGCCTTCTTTTCTCTCGCCCTTCAGACAGCCTTTGCACACTGAGACACCCAAACACGGGCAGTTAAGGGCTCTACCCAGATGCACAGCCAACAAAACACAGAGCCTTTTCCCCAGCCCTCTCCCAGGCAAAGGGCAACTTGGGTTCAGATTTGCCCTCAAACACTGGTTTCTTTGCTAGACCAAGATATCTAGACAGTTTTCTGGGGTTCTTTGTCTGTGGATCAGTGTTTTAGGCTGATTTTTACTAGGATCAGGGGTGCTAGAGATCTATACATTTTGCAAGGAGCAGGGTTAAGGCTGTCACAGGCCTAATTCATGTGAAAGGCCTCTCATGTAACAAAGGAACAGAGCCCATATCAAGAATAGTGCGGTCCCTGGGGAGCCTCCTCAACTCAGCGCCACAAGAAATACCATGCTTGTTTCTGGCCATCTGGGATCCCCTGAACATTGGTGGTGTTCCTGGGTATCTGGACACGGAATATCGAGGGCTGCCATGTGGGTATCTTGTACTTATTTACCTTCACCATTTGGGTACCAGACAGCATAGCACAGGCTGAGTTAGTCTCATGGGCAAGGGTGAGAGGAAGAAGATCTGGCCACCCACCCTTGTGCCACCCTGTCATGGAGGCTGCAGTTTCCTACTGGACCCCACACCCACTCAGCTGGCCCTTTGGGTGCAGAAGGTGGCTGTGGCTCTCAAAGTTGTTTATGAACAGAATTTATAAGCTTTTATATACTGTTTACTGAAAACTCAAAGATCCTTCATTTACCATTCCACAATGTATATATTGCATGTAGTAAATACACATAGGTTTTTCATTGAAAAGAGATAGAGAGAGAGATTCACTTTTCATTTTTTGGGTAGTAGAAAGAATAAAGATTCAGTTTCTCACTTATTTGTTGATATTGTTGTTCAGTGTTTTTTTTCAATATTCAGCATCAAATCCAGGGCCTCCTAATGTGCTCAAAGATACTCTATCACCTACACCCACCCCTCCCCAAACACATGTGCTTCTTGGCTTAGATGTAAACACCCATCTGCCACTACAGGGGCAATAGGAAAATGACTTGCTCTTCCTTGACCTCAAGTTCTAAAATTAGGAAAGAAGATAGGAGCTGTGCATGGTGGAGACCTGTAATTCCAGCAATTCAGGATGCTGTGGGATTGGCTCAGAGTATATTCAAGGATGGTCTGAGCAATTTAGTGAGTGCCTGTCTTTTAAAAAGATTCAAAAGAAGCTGGGGAAATCAATTCAGTTCCCAATACCAAAACAGAGAGGGAAAGAAGGAAGTGGGGTATGGGGAGGTTGGTAGACACATGTTCAATGAATGTATTTCTATTTGCCATTTGGGATAGTTGTCAAGCTTAAATGAAATACTATAGGCAGTATAGTATTTAATACAGTATAGATGCTCAGTAAATGGTATCCATTTGATTGTCGATTTTAGTCTTATTACTCAGATAAAGGACAACTACCCAGGCTTATTCATTACTGTAAGAACTGTGATTGCCAGAATAGAAAAAAGAATATCCTGATGGAAAGCAGGTGTTTGCAGTTTGTTCTTCCTGTCTTCCAGGAGAAAGACATCCACTCAGGCTTGATTGGCCCCCTTCTGATCTGCCAGAAAGGGACACTTCACCAGAAGAGCAAACTGCCTATGGACATGAGGGAATTTGTCTTACTCTTCATGGCCTTTGATGAAAAGAAGAGCTGGTACTACGAAAAGTCCAAAAGGTCGTGGAGAATCGAATCTCCCGAAGTGAAGAATTCCCACGAGTTTTACGGTATTTTTCCTCTGGCTTTGATCTGCTCTGATTCAGCCTCACCAGTTCACAATGATCCCTGCCCTTAGATCTTCACAAGATTAGATTTCAACTTTTCCAGAGGAGCCCGGAACACCAATTAAGCCTGGCTCCTCAGAGTCCTAGACAGCAGATCTGGCCCATAAGAAACCCCACTGGAAATCATAGAGAGGACAGCACACACTGGCTGGCACCACACAACATACAAGAAAATGGATACTGTGCTCCAGAGAGCAACATACATAGGAGTGGGCATGGTATCATTCCCTTTAAGACACTAATGGCCCTGTTCGTTGTCATCTAAAACAATTAGTATTCACACTAAGAAATGATCCACATGTCTTCCGAAAATCAGAGTGGCTAAAGCAGTCTCATCTCTCGGCATCCAAAGGCAGAATGAAGGGTTTGCTCAGGCAAAACAACAACAGTTAGAAATCAGAAGAAAATAAAGACTACTAAGTGGTGAGATGGCTTAGAAAGTAAGAGCATGCTTGCTTCTAAACTCAAGGATCACTCCCATAAACCTGCATGGTGGAAGGAAAACAGATTCCCACAGGTCCTCTAACCTCCACATACATGATCTGTGTGAGTGTGTGTGTGTGTGTGTGTGTGTGTGTGTGTGTGTGTGTGTGTGTATTCTTGTGTGTACTCATATGAGAGACAACTAAGGCCTGTTTTCAGTTTGGAAATGAAGGTTGGCTGGGCAGTGGTAGTGCACGCCTTTAATCCTAGCACTGGGGAGGCAGAGGCAGGTGTATCTCTGTGAGTTCAAGGCCAGCCTGGTCTACAGAGCTAGTTTCAGGACAGAAAAAAGAAAAAGAAGGAGGTTGTTATGGAGTCTCTGATTAGGTATGAGGGTCTGTCAGAACACTGGGCAAGAGAAAGGTGCACATGCCTGAAGTCATGACACTCTGAAGACTGAGGTAAGAGGCCTCAAAGTTGGATACAAGCCTGAGCTACACACTGAGACTTTGTCTCAATGAATAAATAATAAATAAATAAATGAACAATATAGGTCAAGATATTTTTGTAACATGATATTTAATGGCACCTCTAGTCAGAAGTTGAGGCTAGGTAGATTTATTCTTCCTTTATCACTGACATGCACACGCCACACTTCTTATATATGGGGCCTTCTAGAAGTTTAATAACGTCACCTGTAAATACTTTGAGCTACAAGTAGGCAAGTAACGATTTACACCTTGTTCTAAAAATCCCACTTATGATGGAATCAGCTTTCATAAAAATATTTAAAGATTTTTTTAAAATCCTATTAAATAGAGTACAGTTAATTCAGATAGCTATTGGACAAACTGCAAATAGAGCTTCCCCCTTTCCTTTCCCTTCCCTTTCCTTCCCTTCTCTTCCCTCCCTTTCTCATCTCCCATCTCTACGCCTCTCAGCCCTAAAATTTTCTCAATGAACAGGAAGTACACCCTTTAGAAACCCTCTCAGCCTAGTAAGATAGCACAGGTTGCAGAATCAGATGGGCTGTCTTTTGGCCATGCTCTTTGCTTGAGGAACATCCTCCAGGAAATGCTTCCTGATTTCAAAAACAAAAAATTAAAAAAAAAGATACATTTATTAGAGCTGCAATCCTAAATACATTATTGTCTAATTCTTGGACATTTAGTGACCCTGACATGTAGCATTTATTGGAGTGTGTGACAATGCTGAACAATGCTGATGTTATAATCACTCTCAACACCCTCCACTCTTACGACATCTAATTCTGTAACAGAAACTGCAACACAGGTAAGAGCCATTGTTCAAATATGTAGGTAGGTGTTCCCATAATGGATATGATTTGACAAGTGCCAAAATAATTTCAATTCCTTACCCTCCAAATGTTCCCTTGACTGTTTTCTGAAATTCCACAGTAATCCCTTGAAGGGAAAGAGAATTCCAGTTAAGTAGCACCAAGCTTTATCATTAATTTGTGTTACGTGTTTAAGATGATTAAAGTTATCAGGTGCTTTAAACACACATACACACACACACACACATAGAGAGAGAGAGAGGTATTGTGCCCAAAGACAAGAAGACCTTGAGTTCAAAGTCACCTTGAGCTAAAGAAGGGGTTCCAGGCTAGCCTAGGGTATATACCTAATTAGGTTTAGACCTAATCTAAAACAAAACAAAACAAAACAAAAAAATCTACCTATTTAATTAAAGGGAAGGTAGATACAGCGTGGCTATCTTAGACTCTAACCTGAGAGATGAGTAGAGGGGCAGTCACACCAAAGAGAGAATGGCATGCTACTATTTACTCTTACCCCAGGGGTTTGCATTATCTGCCCATTTTTATTTTTCTGCATCAATTACACTATCAATATAAAGGGCAAATGGGCAAGTTCTTAAGCAGGAGAGGGACAAAATCTGGGGGAAAGAGAGGAAAAAAAAAACTGTTCTGAAGCGGAACTGGCTCACACTTTTGTAGGCATTTGTGAAATAGCCTAAGGATTTGGAAATTCTAATTTAGCCTTGTCTTAGTTCTATGAAACCACCAAGGGCCCTTTCTGTACCTAGGTAGGCCTAGGAATGCCCAGTAATGAGGAAGATGGGTGGGGAGTGAGTGGCTTACCGGGCTCCTCCTTGTGCATACAGGTTTTTAATTGATTACAACTCTCTTTCCTTTCAGCCATTAATGGGATGATCTACAATCTGCCTGGCCTGAGAATGTACGAGCAAGAGTGGGTGAGACTTCACCTGCTGAACATGGGTGGCTCCCAGGACATTCACGTGGTTCACTTCCATGGCCAGATCCTTCTGGATAATAGCACCAAACAGCACCAGTTGGGGGTCTGGCCCCTTCTACCTGGTAAAGATCTGGGAAGTAGAAGAGGTCCCCACTAAGAAACAGCTAGACAGGGCACCTGTAACTTCTTCTCCTTGTACATCTACGATTTCAGGAAAGATTCTAGTCTAGATGTCAGGCAAAGCCTTGTTTCTGTGCTATACAAATACAGAGCTCAAACCAGCTCTCCATAAGCTGTGTGTAGGCACCTCGTAAGACAGGTTTGTGAGCCCGTGTGGGTCTTCAGGGATTCTGTGTCTCATGCACTTTCTCCCGAGCATCTGTGTGTCATAAAAATAAGATCTCAGTATGTGACAAATAAGTCACCAAAGCACAAAGAAAAAAACTATTGCTGTTGGGAGGTTGACTGTGACCTTAAACTGGCCTGTTCTGGATTCTTGAATTCCACTTCTGAAACTTTAACCCTAACCTTTCTGAGCAAGCGATTCTGGGAGTCATAATCTTGAACAGATTCATGACTCTGGAGAGCAAGCTCCTTTTAATGATTGCAAAAGCTAATGGGTATTTTTAGAGTTTTTCATGTGAAGACTCAGTGACTAATATAGATCTAAACAAGCGGAAAATCATCAGGAAAGGTTTTTTGTTGTGTCACTAAGTTTAGGGAAATCTGTTAATGAATGGGGTGATGAGGGCAAGATACCACTGAAGGACCCAGGACTCTGGTTAAGATGCACATCTACTGAGAGTTTCAGAGAGGAGGAGGCCCAGGATTTTGTGTCTCTTGCAAGCAGCTGCCCTCCCATCCAGGAGTTGGGGTGCCCAAGTCATTGTGTGAATTGATCTCATATATGGACGTGGAGGTCCAATGGGTCCATTTTACTAAACAGAGGGAGAGATGGCATCTTGTTTGGTTCTTGAAAGCCACTCCCTAAGAGATCTAGAAAAAAAAATAAAACTATTTTGTTTAACTTCAGAGACAGGATGAACCAGACCAAATTCACCCCATCTTTTCACCAAGTGTTAGGAAGTGAAGGAAGCATGCAGTGTGGCCTGAGAAGCTAAGGCTGAGCAACCCACCTAAGTCTTCAATGAGAAATAACAGATTTCAGAAAGGAGCACATGAGATCTGATTCACAGTGTTTGAGATAGATAGCCATAGCTGTTAATTTTTGCCCACAGTCTGAGACATGGTTTTACGTTACAGTCAATAGAATTTAAGTATAGGATCAAATGGAAGATGGTGGACATTAAGGGTCAGTACAAATAAACAGAAGTTTTAGAAACCTTTTCCATTTTTTTCTGAAACTATATATATATTTTTTTTATCCAAGTATGTACACTTTCAAGAGGATTTGAAACCATAAGGCAAGGATTTTTTTATTCTTTACATATTAAAAAAAAAAAAGAAAACATATTCTATAACTCTAAAGTTAGCTGATAACTCATTCAAGGTCATTTTGAAACTTGAAACTGTATATTTGAATTGTATATGGGCTAATTTGTAACATTATGTTTAAGTAAATGAAAATTATTTTTTAAGGAAGGCTGGGAGGCTTTTTTGTTTTTTAATGTCTGGTTGGTTTATTTCTAGCAATTTATTTCTTCTTATTTATCTGTTCCATGTTTTGTTTGCTCAAAATAAAGTCCATGTATCCCCATGAAGTGACAGATGGCCTTGTACTCCTGGTCCTTCTGCCTTCTCCTTCTGAGCACTTTGATTAAAGGCATGCCCTGGGGTGCCCAGTTTATAGGGTTCTTGGTCAAACTCAGAGCTTTGTGAATTCTAAGCAAACATTCTCTTGACTGAGTATGTCCACATCCTTACTTTTGGTAATTTGTGAATGCTGGTGTTGTAGCGTTCATTTTTATCTGTAATGGCCTCAAGAGAAAAGAATCACTCTTAAATTCTCCCCTGTGGCTTCTTCTCTTAGAGAAGAGCACCACCACAATATTAGTTTATTAGTCATTAAGTTTGTAATTTTCTCTTTCACTCTGTTTTTAGGTTCGTTTAAAACTCTTGAAATGAAGGCGTCAAAGCCTGGCTGGTGGCTCCTGGACACAGAGGTTGGAGAAAACCAGATAGCGGGCATGCAAACGCCCTTTCTCATCATAGACAAAGGTACCAGCCATGTGATATTTACTGGTGAGGGGGTGCCTGAAAATATAATGTTTCTAATTTATAGATATCTTATTCTTTTTGCAAATACCTGATTATCACCATTCTATTGTGACAATGATAAAATTGGCTTTTTTTTCCTAGCCATTAAAAACATAACAATTTAGCCAGGCATTGGTGGCACACGCCTTCAATCCCAGCACTCGGGAGGGAGGCAGAGGCAGGTGGATCTCTGTGAGTTCAAGGCCAGCCTGGTCTACAGAGCTAGTTCCAGGACAGGCTCCAAAAGCAATACAGAGAAACCCTGTCTCAAAAAACAAACAAAAACAAAATAAAACAAAAACAAAAAACAAAAAGCCATAACAATTTATCAATAAAACCCCAACAAATGGGTTAAGTATTTCACAACTGGGGAAATCAATAGGAAGTGTGCTTCCTTGGGATTTTTGACCCATGGGAAAATATATGTAAGAAAATCTTCAAGTTCCTAGCATAGACGAAAAAGAGAAACCAGGATTTATCCAACAATTTATTATCAAGTCTTGTCAGTCATCTGTTGACTACCAAGCACTGTGCTCAAATCCAGGTACCCACTAGCTGGTATTTCCTCCCTTAAGCAAGATGTAAATAACCTTGTAATTCCCAGGCCAATGGCCAAGAGTGCAGTCTTAGGAATTACAGTACTTAATGTCAATACTTTGTTTTAAAATCCAGCCAGAGAAAAATCAGCTAAAAAATATTTTTTAAGACTCCCACAGTTATTTTCTCCTGTGATAGTCACTATTTTAATCAACACCTGTCTTGCTGAGAACTTATCACTTTCTAATCAGGAATATTAATGTCACTATCATGAAAGATAAATGAAAACAATCACTAGCTATGGAGGTTTTACTTACTATATATTTTCTAAGCAAAAATGACTGATTTTTGTTTTTCACAGGGTGTAAGATGCCAATGGGACTGAGCACCGGTATCATATCTGATTCACAGATCAAGGCTTCGGGACATCTGAGTAAGTAGTAACATCATAGCCTGTGACTGGTGATGCCCACATTGTGCAGTATGCAGCTCATGAAGCTATACATGGCAACCCAACCATGGGCCAGTTCCTCTCTCTAGGCTACCATCTGCCACAGCTTTAATGAAACAGCTCCATTTGCAATTCCCCTCTGGTAGTGGAAGAAATATAGCAGGCACTAAAAATCACATTAATACACTTATCATTTCCATTCCCCAGAGGGTCTTCTCTAGGAAACGCCAAGAACTCGACATTGCTGATATCTCTACCTAAGCAGCCCATTGTTCTGCAAGGATTTGGCATGAAAGTAAACAGCTTAATCTTATGACTTTGTGATCATTTCCCAAACCCCATTTATCTTGACTGGATTGTCTTATGCACATAATCTCCAGCCAGATTCACATGGTTTTAGCATCCAGGAAAGAAGGTCCCAACACTTATGCTAGCCATTCATCTAGTCAAGAAATATTATGATTTGAACGTCTCTTAAATGTATTCATTCTACCTCAGATCCCTTCCTGGGATCTAGAGGCCATCATCAAGAGCTTAATGAGGTTCCCACAGATTCCTCCCAAATCTTCCTGTTTGGTAGGCATATCAACATGACTGAGAAAACACAAACATGACCTGTGTGCAAGAAAGGGTGGATGATGCTTTATAGCTGACTAAACACGGCCTGAAGCCAAGGTTTCATCACTGAGGACTGGCTTGGCAGCCAATGTCCATGTCACCTACCTAGATGTGCTTCTCTGCTGTACTAAACTTATTTGAGAAATTGGTTAATTTTCTATTTAAAAAAACAACACACTTCAAGCTAGACATGGTAGTACACGAGGCAGAAAGATTGTGAGCTTGAACCATATAAGACCTTCTCTCAAAAAATAAATACACAATTCATCTTTTTTTTTAATTTAGATTATTGGGAGCCCAAATTAGCACGATTAAACAATGGTGGCTCATATAATGCTTGGAGTATAGAAAAATCTGCATTAGACTTTGCCTTTCAATCTTGGATCCAGGTATGTCTAACTAACATGCTAGTATGACAAAAATGGGTTAATAGTTTCTTACAATGGCATTAAAGGAAACAGCAGTAAGTGGTGGTAGTTGCGATTCTCAGCTCTTTGCTGGAGAGGTAACTCTAGTGATTTTTCAGCCTAAGAAAGAAAATCCCAGACAAAGCTATCAACTACTTTCCCAAAGTAAAGCACACCTATAGCCAGCACCTCAAGTGACACTTATGTCCAGATGCACTTTACTTGACTGTGGATTGTACCTGGGCATTGTATGAGCTTGCTAAGAGCTTGGACATTGTTCAGTGCTAAATAAAGCTGATTATAGCATGAGTTATGGCAAGGTGTGACTCACCAACAAGTCTGGCTCTGTTTACCAACTTGGCTGTATTGCAGGTGGACATGCAGAAGGAAGTTGTAGTCACAGGGATACAAACCCAAGGTGCTAAACACTACCTAAAGTCTTGCTTTATCACGGAATTCCATGTGGCGTACAGCTCCGACCAAACCAACTGGCAGATCTTCAGAGGGAACAGCACAAAAAATGTGATGGTTTGTGTACATATTTCTGGCTAAATCTTAAGATTTACCCTGGGGTATCTGTAGCAGTATCCTTTACAATCACATTTCGGGGACTTTGAAATGTGAATGATTTTCTAAGGGTCCTGGGGAGTAAAAATGGCAATATATGGTTAAGTCAGTATATTACAAATTAAAAGGGTACATGGAGCTACTAAAACTTCAAATCTCCACAGAACCTGAGAGGAAAAACTCATTTAAGCAAACACCCCGACAAAGTACTGTCAGGTGGTATAAAACAATGTCTGCCCTTGATCAACAAAGAGCCTATCTAGAAACTGCCCTCAAAGGGTTTTGATTTCACTGTCATATTTTATTTTATTCTTTGTCTAACATCCCTTAATTCATGGTGATTATGATTTCCCAGTGGCACTCAGAGGCAGTGTGATTCTCAGGCTTCCTGAAGACTTATGTCCTCCTGACTGGTCCTCCATGAACCCAGCCAAAATTCCTAGATTATCCCCTTGTCCCCAGCCTCCTCCCCAAAGGAAAATGCCCAAATGCAGAGAGTCTGTCTGCTGTCATTAGGCCAACCACCTTGAATCTGTTTCTATTGGTATTTTATGTAAACCGTTTGCCATAGGCTACCTTTTCCTTTGCTATCTCAGATATTCCTAGTAGTGACACATTTGTAAATGTGGCTTAGATGAAAATCTTAAATAATGGTGCTAATAAATCAGTAGTGGGAGAGAAAACACAGATGGCAGTCAACATCATACCTTGGGGATTGACTATTTTGTGCTGTTTCTAACTTCAATAGCACAGTGATAGAAGTCGTGTAAAGTAAATCAAGGGACATTCCTTTCCCTTCAATGATCAGGTTGAGATTTTTAAAATTGATGTTAATTCCTTCATTTGGTGGAAATTATCCCAAAACCCACCTGGACCTGAAAATCTCTCTGTGGGAAGTTTAAAATGTTTAAATTCACTTTCTTTCATTAGTAGTTTGAAGGTTATTTGAATTGTCTATTTTATATTAGCTGAATTGTGGTACTTGGGGTGGGGGGTGAGACAGGCTTCTCTGTGTAACAGCCCTGGCTGTCCTGGAACTAGCTCTGTGGACCAGGCTGGCCTCAAACTCACTGAGATCCACCTACCTCTGCCTCCCAAGTGCTGGGATTAAAGGCATGCACCACCACAACCCAACGGGTTGTGATACTTTGTGAAGCTCTTAAAATATGAGCTGGCCCCTTTCCTCTAAGTTATGGGACATGTATGTAGAATTTGCGGTATCGGTTGTTCTTGGATGTCCTTGAGACATCTGCAGGGGCTGTAGCAACACTACCTACTTCATCTGTGAGATCATAATTTTCCTCTTCTTTTATTTTGGGTCAGACCTGCTGTGTTTTGTTTTGATTTTGTTTGTTTTTGTCTTTTTTTTCAATTTGCTTTTATTCTTCTCCAAGCACCAGTTCCTTTACTGATATCCCCCTATTGTTTAAGTGTGTAAAGTCTTACAAATGCCTACTACTGAGCATTCTCTGTCAGGGAAAGGGAGGTGGGGCATAGCCTGGTGACTGCCAGGTAGGCTCTCACTGGGCACCTTAGGAGACATTACTTCTCCTGGCTGCTAGGTAGGAGCATAGTTCCAAACTGGCTTCTCCTGACACTGCTGAGCGATCCTTCCTAGGAACTTCAGAGACAGTGTCCTGAGCTCCCACTTTGGCCTTCTCTAATACCCTAGAATGGTATTAGCCCCTCTTCAGTGCCAAAAACCTAAAAGTCTAACCCTTCATTACAACTGTTACTCCAGTGCTTGGGTTGTGTCTGGGTTTTGTTTGTTTTTCTGTGATAGTTGGCTGGTATCAACAGTTATCTAGTGAGACTGTTGCCTTCTTCATCTCTAAGCCTGAGACTCCAGGACATGGTATTCCTTTTCTCTGAGAGGCTTAGCTGGCTGCTCTGTTTTCTTCATACCATCTTCTTGTCTTCGTTTGCTTCTTTTATGAATAGTCCAAGGTTTCTGGCTCTGTATAGCAGAGGGAATAGAGGGAAGTGCATAGCACCAGTTTCCTGAAGTAGAAGTATCTACACATCAGTTTTTCAAACCAAATTGAATTGATTCAGTTCCCACTGAAAGAACCTTACAAAACCTGTTAGATGGGTTTGTTATAAATACAGTTTATAGAGAATGGTTATTAATGCTTTCCTCTTTCCCTCTAGGATTTTGCTGGCAATTCAGATGCCTCTTCAATAAAAGAGAATCGTTTTGACCCACCTATTGTGGCTAGATACATTAGGATACATCCCATAAAGTCCTATAATAGACCTGCCCTTCGGTTAGAACTGCAAGGCTGTGAAGTGAATGGTAAGGGACAAGAAGTACCAATTCTCATGGCCACTCAAGACTAGAATTCTTAGATATCTTCAATGACTTAGGCTTAGAAAAACCTTTGCAAAACACAAGCCCCAATCCAGGATGTTCTCAGGATGATCTAACAGAGACTGAGCCTCATGCCTGTAGTCAGGAGGTAGGCATCATCTCACTAAAGATGTCTACATGATATGAGTACCACCGTGGCATCACCATGGCCCTGCAAAGAAATGGTCTAGGTTAGAACTGTCACCATCAGAACATTTTCAATGAGAGTTACCTGACTCTTTCAAAGTCCCTTAGGCCACTCAGATTTCAATGAAAGAGCCACATCAGTGGCCTATTTTTGGAATTCAGTGTGCTCTGTATACTGTTTTGGACCCTGTGTAAGTATTCAAGTCTTTTCAAGCTTCATTTTTTTTCAGGGGATGAAATTTGGCTTGTGAGCTAATGAAATCTGAGTCATAAGAAAGTCATAATAATGGTCTACTGACTGTTCTCTGATTTTTGTTTGGCTTTTAGTTTGTTTGTTTGTTTGTTTTTTGGTGGTTTTTTTTTGGTTTTGTTTGGTTGGTTTTTGTTGTTGTTGTTTGTTGTTTTTGTTTTTATTTTGAGACAAGGTTTCTCTGCAGCTTTGGAGGCTGTCCTGGAACTCACTCTATAGACTAGACTGCCCTCTAACTCAGAGATCCACTTGACTCTGCCTCCTAAGTGCTGGGATTAAAGGTGTTTGCCACCACAGCCTGGCTTGTTCTCTGATTTTTGAAGTAAGCCTTTCCGGTATTTTTAACTTTGAGGCACATACAGAAAATACTATCGTTGCTCAGGCATTCTAAGGTAAAAGATGAAAACAATTGGCCCAGGGCTTGGCTGACCCAGGCCTCAGATGACTGTTAACTAAATGAGTTGGTGAAGGAATGAATAGTTACATGCTGTGATGATCTTGTAAGCTACATGATCTTCCCCTGAGGTAGGGGAGGAAACCCTGACTCACAATGAAGAAAGTACCCACATTTGAGAACCAGTTTCTTACCAAAGCAGATAATGTTGCACTTGACATTTCTGAGAGATATGGATATGGACATTTACCAGTATCTAGAGACTAGTAGTGTATAAAACTGCCCACACAAAATTTTGTGTAGGAAGGATTACTCCATGAAAGAGTTCCACAAGTCATAGGAGTTTTGTTTCCATAATTATAGTGTAAATGGTAGCTTTGTTCAATCATGTAGTCTAGCTAACCTACAATGTGAAGTTCAACTCCGTTAATTATTGAAAATATTCATTTTCTACATAATAAACATTGCTTTTTTTCTCCATTTTGGAACTTACATAGTAAGCAGCACACGCTCCTTTTAGGGTTTGGTTTTGTTTTCACATACAAAAAGCAAGCTATAGCTTCAAAAACAGAAGTCCTTGTTTTTCAATAAAAAATCAAACTCATGCTAAGCTAAGTAGTCAGCTACCCTCCGCTCACTAGGTTTCCTAGATCAACAGATCAACTTTGCTACCTAGAATCTCAAATTATGCCTGAGCAAAATTCCAAAAAGTGCATATGTTCAAAAATTTGAAAAGGAAAACATTAATGGTGGCTATCAAAGCTCCACTTCATCATCTTGTCAGCTTCTGTTACAAGAAACTGATTTTGGTTATGTACAGCTATGCATTGCTCAATGTAGGATCAGTTCTTCAAAATGCATCTTTAGGTTATTTTGTTACCCTACAAACACCATAAGTAATGTTTACACAAACTTAGACAGTACAGGCTAGTCACTCAGTGTGGTTCCTTGATACAGTCAAGAAACACAGTGAGTGCGCATATCATGACACTGTTTCACAGTAAGCGACTCTTTTATAAGTAGAAGGAGCACATTCAAAAATAATTAGAAAGTTGAGTAAATACACAAAGCAGTTATATTGTGGTTTATTATTGACTATTATGAACTGTACATATTTTTTGTTTTTGTTTTTCAAGACAGGGTTTCTCTGTGTAGCTTTGGAGCCTATTCTGGAACTCACTCTGTAGACTAGGCTGGCCTCGAACTCACAGTGATCCATCTGTCTCTGCCTCCCAAGTGCTGGGATTAAAGGCATTAGCCACCACTGTCCAGTTGAATTGTACATAATTATATGCACTATATGTCTACACATGTAGCAACACAGTAGGTTTATTTATATGGGCACCATCACACACCCCAAGATTATATGTTACTTATAACAACTATGATGTAACAAGGCATCAGCTCCATAGCATAATGGAACCACTATTATTTGTGTGGTCTGTTATTAACTAAAATGTCATTATGTAGCATGTGATGGTACATGGATTCTTCGGAACTACCATCTACCTCAAAACAAAGACTGACAATTGCATGACTATCTGAATAAGGGAGTACCCATACTTAGGATATAGTGTCTGGTGATATACTGTTTCCTGTTCTTCTGACTGTCTTGTGTTGGGCTACGGTGTCTTGCTGTACTCTATGCTCTTCTGTCAAATGGGCTGAGTATGAGCACTGAACAGTATATTTGTAGCACCAAAGTAGTATTTGCACTTGAATTGAACAAATGTTCTTTGTTTCCATTGTTTTGCTGTCCCTGGGAGTGGTATTTCTTGCTTCCTCTGTTGCAAAATGCAATGCAGGGGCTGTTAGTGCTGTGTAATAAATCACATTACTTTCCACTTGACAGGATGTTCCATGCCACTGGGCCTGGAAGATGGAAGGATAGAAAACAAGCAAATCACTGCATCTTCGTTTAAAAAGTCATGGTGGGGAGACTACTGGGACCCCTCCCGTGCCCGCCTGAATGCCCAGGGCCGTGTGAACGCCTGGCAAGCCAAGGTGACAGCAACCATATAAATGGGTTCTCCTGCCTTCCAGAAACAAACAATGACCACAACCACAGGGGAGGTGGGGGCAGCTGAGAGTCTAGGATGACTTGCAGAATCAAACAGCTGCAGTTCTAACCATGGCTCCCAGCAAAGTCACACCGTTCTGGGTCTAGCCTTGACTAAAAACAGGAAGGAACAACAGTTTGCAAGGAGCAAGACAGTAAATATTTTAGGCTTTCAGATAATTTGGAAATTTATTCTTTTTGTTTCAAGTATAATTCAACTATGTATTCATCCAGCTGCTATTTGTTAAGCACTGTATGCCTTGTATTGCTATGAATGTGGTGGGGGAGGGGCACTAAATAAGCTCTCTCACCCTAGAACAGCAAAGGACCTTAAAAAGCATAAGTTATTGTTTATTATATAGAATACATTAAGTAAAAATTAATTTTTAAAATTAGTGTACAAAGTAATAGGTTTTATTGTGGCATTTTCATATGTATGTGTCATCATGCTTTGTTCTTAATCACCCCCCTTCAGCACTGCCATCCTCCAGTCATACATATTCTATACCTCTATTCCCTGATCATGAGCCATAACAATAAATAAAAGATCACAGGGAGTCTTCTACAAGACAGTGACTCCCAAGGGAGGAAATGGAAATGGAAAGTGTCTGGTCTTAATAAAAATAAAGGCTTAACATCTTCCTCATTCCACGTTTTGTTTTAACCATTCTCATAGGCTAATAACAACAAACAGTGGCTACAAGTCGATCTGCTCAAAATCAAGAAGATCACTGCCATTGTAACACAGGGCTGTAAGTCTCTGTCTTCTGAAATGTATGTGAAGAGCTACAGCATCCAGTACAGTGACCAGGGTGTGGAATGGAAACCGTACAGGCAGAAATCCTCCATGGTGGACAAGGTACAGTATGCCATGTCAACAAGGCGGGTCTGTCAGGAAACTGTTTCCTGATGAGACTAAAGCAGCACCCTGCATTTGACAAGGCTGATTATGTACTTCCCCAGTCTTCTCAACCCCCATTCTACAGGTGGCTGGTCTTAGCAGTGGGCCCATTTGTGTCACTCTCCTATCTCAGCCACCTGTGAGACAGGGAGGACAAAGCACTAGGGGATGCAGTGTGGCTTTTATTATCTTTGAGAAAGGTGGTAAACCTGTCCAGAAAACCTTCTGCTAAATAACAAAAGCACTGCTGCAGGAAGAGTTGCTGCCTGTAGCAAATCAGATGCCCAAGACAACACCCTCTGTGTGTCAGGCTGTCATTAAACAGAAAATGATTGGGAAGACTTCTCCTCTGGTGAAAGTAACTACTCCCTTACATCCTAAGTCCCTCTACCCTCTACCAGGTGGTTAAAAAATGCTGCCAGAGGCAAAGCCAAGGAAATGTGCCTAGTGATCCAGGAATGGGAACTGGGCTGAAACTAGTAGGAAAACTGTTAGTAATAAAGCACATGGGGGACCTTGGCAGCATATTAGAAAAGGAAGGGAATGGAGAAATGGAGGGGAGAAGGGGGAGAGAAGAGAAAGAGAGGGAGGGATATGGAGAGAGAGAGAGAGGCAGAGAGAGAGGGAGAGGAAGGGAGGGAGAGAGAAAGAGACAGGAAAAGGGCTGTCTCTCCCTTCAGAGGAACAGCTGGGAAGGGCAGAAGTGGTCAGGGTTTTTCTCTTTAAAGGGTCCTTTGCACCTGTGTGCAGACCACATGGTGACAGTGGTATAGTCGCCATGGAACCCTGGGCTGCCCAGGGTACCGCCTGAGTGCATTCGGCCAGGTGACAGGGGCAGGCCAGCGTGATGCCTGAATTCTCACAAAAACAACCCAAGGAGGGGACTTAGGTTTACTACATTATAATTAAATGCTCAGCCCTAAATAAATCTGTGCCCCTTTCTCAGTTTTTAAACCCCTGGCAGCATGTTTTGTCTTGTTACAGAATGCTGTCCTCAAACAAGAACAATCATAAAGAAATGATGGCTTGTTGCTGCTGTGTGTGTAAACCTCAGGGCACTTCCTGAGGGTGAAAACAACAACAGAAAAAAAAAACAAAACAAACAAACAAACAAAAACAACAACAAAAAATATGAACAGTCAAGGAAGATACACACACACACCAAAAAAAGAAATTAAAATAAAAACCTCAGGGTCATGTTTATTTTAAATGTCAATAACAGCAAGTTGTTTACTGGTATCCACTGCATGACCCTCACTAGGCACTTGCCATGTATTTACACACATTTTCAAATCCGTACAACTTGTGCGATTCAGTTTTCATTATTCTTGCCCTGATGATGAGGTAGAGAGTACAAAGGGATATAGTGACTTCTTTAAGGTCACATGGTGACAAAGATGCTAAAAAAGTTTACAAACACTCATGTCAGGGTTATTTAATTTTTCTAATTTGACACACATCATTAAGGAATGAGCATCTCTAACGGGACATCGATCTGGCTTGTGATTTAGTAATTTACTGATAATGATAAAATATTGATGACTGACTTTAGTATAAAAGGGTTTAGAAAATGGATATGAAACATGAATGCCCTTGATGCAAATGCTGACAATTCTATCGTGTTTTCCTTTCAGATCTTTGAAGGAAACAGTAATACCAAAGGACACGTGAAGAACTATTTTAACCCGCCTATCATTTCCAGGTTTATCCGAATCATTCCTAAAACCTGGAACCAAAGTATTGCACTTCGCCTGGAACTCTTTGGCTGTGACATTTACTAGAATTGAAACCAAAAGCGGAAAAGAAAAGATAAAAACTGAAGAAAACTTAAGGCCATTTAGAGTAGGCAATATATTATGGCTATTTTAAATGTTAACTTTTCTGCTATTTTTTTCTAATAGAGAATAAAGTTTATATAAGAAGCTTTTTACAATGTAAATTCATTGCTGCCATTAAGTAAGGTGGCAGCCATTCTTTCCTTACAAGTTTGAATACAAATGGAAAAATACTAAGTACCAGGGAGGATATAACTGCCTTTTACTCTGATTACATAATGTAATAGTTATATAATGGAATAGCGTGGTTCACTGTAGCTCTTTCAAATCCTATAGACATTAGTAAAAGAGACATTACTTTCAGAAACTGTTCATAGACCTAGAAAACTTTTATTCCTATACTTTCCTTTTAAGAACAAACTATAATTTGTAAACAATGGATACTAAGATAGTTTAATTTTTTTTTTTGAAAATAGAGGAAAAACAAATCTTGTGGTAATGAAGTAAGAACTTAAAATGCCCTGTGCTGGGCTGTCATGCAAAAACCTGATGGCCTGAGTTCAAGTCCACAAACCCATAGTGGAAGGACAGAACTGATTCTGAACAGCTGTCCTTTGATTTCCCCATGCAGCTGTGGCACATGTGTGTGCCCACGCCCACATACAGGGACTAACAGTAAATAAAAGATTTTTACAAGCCCATCTTTCTATGTCACCATGAGTCTCCTGATTCTCTGCGAGTAAAAGAACAACTGAACCTGTTTCTCACATTCCGGGCGGACTTGTAAATCTGTCTTGGCCTTGTTTGGGACAGGTTACATCTATTGATGTCCAAGGGTACCAGCCATCAGACATTAAATAAAACCCAAATAACCTTGGGAGAACCAGTCATGTGCCTTGGCTTGATCAAACAGCTGGCACTGTGTAGCACACTGTTTCAAAACTTGGGTTCACCTAAGGGAAGGCACTTACCTGTAAGGAAGAACACAGGGACTGTTGGCACAAGCAAAGGGGTTCCTGTTAGAGCTGCTTCGGGCCAAATTGGCAAGGGGGTTAAGAGTTCTTTCTATGCCCTTCTTTCTCTCTTCCCCTCATTAGGCAGCTTCTGTTAGCATGCTTTTCTCTGAAAATGTGAAATCTGGTGACGCTTCACTGCTCGCTAGTCAGCGGAGCTTTTTAAAGCCCATAAAGTCACATGGGGCAGACAGTCCGTACGTCTGTACAGATGGGACAGTCATCAGAGCCAAAACTACCCGGTTTTGTGAAATAAACCACCCCAAAACGTAAGCAAGAAGTACACAAATATACATGAGGTAATAGACAAGACAGATGGCTAATTTTACAGTATGTATGTGTATCAAAACATCACTATACACCACAAATACCGTTTGTCTGGGTTAAAATATTAATGGCAAAACAACGTCTAATTTATTCTTCTTCGTGGCGCTGTGGGCTCACAGGGCTCAGCTGAACACTTTCATTACCGCCTTCTTTTGGTGTCACTCAGGTCCTTAGAGTAGAAGCACGCGTCTCCACTGGTTTCCTAAGGGGATTTACATGAGCTCAGACCCTGGAGCAGTGGAGAGGGCCCGGCACTCATTTCTCTCTTTTGGTGTGTCTCAGCTCCAGTCTCTGCTACTTGGCTTCCTCCACTCAATGTCCCAATGAGTAGCTGGGTTTTTTATATGATGGTTCAGGTGTCTCTGGGCAAATGCTCAAACGCTAGGAAGAAGAGACCCTCATTCTTTTTAAAGTCGAGGCTCAGAGCAGAGGCATAGCCTCACTTCTGCCACACTCTATCTGGTGAAGGTAGGGAAGAATAGGTGAGCCAGGATTTGGTGTAGGAGGGACCATATGGGTGTGCATACCAGAGGGTACTGCTCACTGAGGGCTTCTTTAAAAACTACCAGTTACTTATTGCACCTTCCGGTGAGCCCTGTAGATATGTGTGAGTGCTTTCAACACGCATGGAATGGTGGCTTTCTAGAAGTATTTATATTTCTGTTGTGACTTTTGTTTCATGATTTGTGCTACAATCCTACCAAAATTTTCGTTTTGTTAACAGCAGCTGAGAATCTGAAATTTTTTTTTTTAAAAAAAAAAAATCTCTTTTTTCCAGCTCTGGCCTGGTGGATTCACTATTAATTTGTCTGCAAAAGGCCCTTTTGTCCAAAGTCTGGACTAAGGTGAATGATCAGCTGTAATCCCCTTGACACCTTTAATGTTAAGACTTAAAAAAAAGTCTAAGACAGGCATTGGTGGCGGTGGCGCAGGCCTTTAGTCCCAGCACCCAGGAGGCAGAGGCAGGTGGATCTCTGTGAGTTCAAGGCCAGCCTAGTCTACAGAGTGAGTGCCAGGACAGGCTCAAAAACAATACAGAGAAACCCTGTCTTGAAAAAACAAAACCAAACAAACACAAAACCAAAAAAAAAAAAGAGTTTAACATTTATTTTTTAATAAGATAGTCCCAACAGAATTACATGGTCTCAACCCCACCATCACTCCCCACATCCTGCTCTCCAGAGTCTCTTTTGGAATTCACTAGGCAAGGCTACCCTTGAACTCACAGAGATCTACCTGCCTTGCTGGAATTAAAGGCTTGTACACCGGGCTAGGATTTCTCTTGATCTGAAATCTACGGAAGTATAGTTGGGGCAATAAATACTGTGCGGTACCATAAGAAGGGGAATATGACAATGTAGTGAACCACTTAGCCTTGTTAGCTTGTCTATGAGATAAGACTCCAAAGGAAAAGTAAATTGCTCAGAACTCTTACTTGCTAGCTTCAGAGCTAAACTAGAACAGAAAGTCACAACATAAAATGGAAGTTAAGATGTGAATAAGCCACACCCTTAGACAGATAGATATTAATCTGAAAAAGAAACGTTTGAGTACCAACAAAATGTTAGGGCTATAAGTGACTTTGAAGTAAAATATACAGTTCCACTTTTTGTCCCTCCCTTTGAAGTGGTTTAGCTGAGATAACAGCTTTGATACCTAGTCTACCAACATAACACAATACATTGTTATCTCATAACTGGTTGCTATGGAGAGAAGTGAGTCACAGAGGAATTATGATTTCCAAAGAGAAACCAACAATTAAAATCCTATACATTATTAGTCACTCTAATTGAAAGTTATAGAATAGTTGAGTGCATCACAAACATGAAAATCAGTAAATGTGGGACTACTTCTTCAGAAGGACTTTAAGTACCAAAAGAAATACCATGCTACTTTTCATAACAAAAATTGAACAAGTATCATCTTTTGTGATGAGGACCAATATAACAACTCAAGGGGAAATGTTTGCCATATGTGAAAATAAAATGATTGATAGGACAAGCACAGGGTATAGTTGGATGGTAACAAGACTTTAAAGTGTTTATATAAAGGCTTTGTCTCTGGTCCCTATTTAAACCACCTTCAATTCATCTGCACATTTATAATTTTTATATTAAAGGAAAGCTTCTATTTGTTTTAGGAATGATGTATAGCAACTTCAGACCCTTGTGTAGTTTTTACTGGCATGGAATTTGGTGGTAGTCTCTGGTGTCCCTATTTTCAACTCCTTTCCTTAAGTACTTACTCTCCCATTGCTGTGAGCCTATCGACACTGCTCCCCAGTCTTTATTCATGTGTTTGCTTGTAACAGACACTCATGATGAAAACTCTGGCTCATCTAGTATTCTATTTGTTTGAAATCAAGTTGGCCTCCAACTGGCCTGCCTCAAGTACTCATTGCTTTTAACTGCTGCTCTGTTTTCTACCTTCCTTTTCTCAGGAGTTGGCATTCACCTGCTCATACAGAGTTCCAGGATTTTCACAGAGGTTAAAACTTAATTCCTAAGGTGAAACCAGTGGCTGAATGCTAAGCTTGAACTTCTTTAGTAAATTTAACTGACCAGATAATGGTTTTTCTCAGGAATAGGAACAGTTAGTTTGTTCATATACTGAGCCCTTGGGCCTTCTTATATGAGATTCAGAAAAATTATAGAAAATTGGAAAATCTAAGTGGAATTGTCTTAGTGTTCTTTTGGTGTAAAGAGATGCCATGACCAATGCAACTCTTATAAATAAGAAAGCATTTAATTGGGGCTTTCTGACTTTCGGGGGTTTAATGCATTATTGTCACAGTGGGAAGTATGGCAACACAAAGGCTGACATGCAGGCTGACAAGGTGCTGGAGAGACAACTAAGAATTTCCACATCTGAATCAGCAACAGGATGAGAGAGACACTGAGCCAGAAGCCCACCCTCCAATTAGGCCACACCCACTAACACTATCACTCCTTGGTAAACAAGGGTTCAAAGGGGGGGGGGTCATTCTCATTCCCACCACCACAGAAATTAAGTAAAAAGTTTATTTCAAGAAAAAAAAATGGTTGTAAAGAGAGGAAATAAATCAGGTGGTGGTGCGTGCCTTTAATCCCAACACTTGGAAGGCAGAGACAGGAAGCTCTCTGAGTTTGAGGCTAGCCTGGTTTACAGAGGAAGTTGTAGGACAGTCAGGACTACACAGAGGAACTCTTATCTTGAAAAACCAGAGGTGGAGGGGGGTCTTAACTAGATAAACTAGAAAAAGTAGTCAGCACAATAGGTTATACCATGCATTGTGACAATTTTTTTTCAACACTGAATAGACTAGAATACTATATACTCTTGGCTGGTGGTGATAATATGGTCTGATATTTGAGTATTATAAAAAATGTCCCCTTTCCTGTAGCCAGATGATTGAGCTAGCATGCTAAATTAGAAATGAACTTGGAAGCCAACACTCTCAACTAAAAGTAAAATCCTAGAAGGTTGGGAAAACAAGGCTTCAGAGGCCAGTGTCATGGGTTAGAGTGTGGGGTCTCTAAAGAAGGCCCGTGCTCACATACACTCCAGTCATGAGTATTTCTCCAGTCATGGATTTAATGGCCATTTGATGGCAATAAACTCAAGACTATATTTCTGCAGGTGTGCTCTCTGCCATCTCATTCTAATAGAAGCAAGTGCCAATGGAAGTCAGATGCTTTGGGGAAATAATGAAAAATATGGAATTTTATAACATTGTTTTCATTTGTTATAAAATTCCTGGTACTTTAGAAAAGATTATCATTCTATTTTGTCAATAGAATAATCTTTCACACTCTATCCACAACCTGTGGTAGGGACATCAATATCCAAGCATTGTATGCATACATATATTCTAATTCTTCATCTAGTACCCAGTAATCATTTCAGAGAATCAACTTTTCTGAAAATGGATATACACAGAGTCTTTTCAACTTGGTTAAAGAAAATTTATTGTAAATAAGATCAAGAAAAGATACCACAAAGGGTAGTTCTGGCAAAACCTTCAGTAGTACCCACAAACTTATTTGAAAACCTCTAATGCTGGACAAATACTCTGTATCAAGCTCTACACTCAGCCATGCAAATTTCTAATCCTTAAGGCCTGGTTTTACTAATTACATATGTTTTTCTTTGTACTGCTTTGTAGTGTGTTGTCACACACTTGACACAGATTCTAGATAAACAGTTTGAAACAGTTCCCTGTTTGAAATCACTCGGACTATAACCCAGATGTTGAAATACAAATATATGCTCACTCCCCAAGCCCAGTGTTTGCTCTACAAAGTTACTATTCAACAAGATAAAAGCTCTGAAAACTGAGCCAGGTTTATAGTTAACCGCCTCTCCCCATCCTCTTCCCCCAA